CTGCCCTTCTCTGGACCTGCTCCAGCACCTCCATGTCCCTTCTGTACTGAGTGCTCCAGCACTCGAGGTGAGGCCTCACCAGTGCTGAGTACTGGGGCAGGATTACAAACCCCTCCTTTCTTTTGTATTAGATTACAATTCCCTAAAGAGAAGAACAGATTTGCCTGAAATGTGAAGGCTGCACAGCGCGAGACTGAGCTAGAAAATGTTCTCATGAACTTGTAATTATTCGTGAGGTCCCTGCAGCAGCCCAGTCTCTCCAGGAAACCTCCAGTTTCATGCTGGGCTTCAGTCTGGTTGTGCTACAGAACTCACGGTTGTGATCCCAGAATAAACAAACATAAAACAGCCAGAAGCTCCAGAACAGCCCTTTCATGGGTCACTGGGCATTGGGACAAAAGCACTGACTGCACCTCGAGGCATTCAGACTGCAAAAATGAGAGTTGTAACATCAGTCCTTAGCATTGAGAAGGCTTTGCAGACTGAAGTGTCACGGCAGCTCCCGAGGCAAAGCAAGTAAATAGACACATGTAGATCTATGGAAGGAAGGAGCGGGCTGTGTGCTCAGCTGGGGAAGGCTGGGAAAGTGCAGCTTCTTCTGATCTCCACAGCCCAGAGAGCCATTCCTGAGCTGCATTCTGAGACAGACGCAGAGTTGCCAGGCCCAGTGTTACTCAGGGGAATGGAAATGGTGAGATAGATGGCAATGGGATGATGCAAGCTTCAGTGTCCCTGTCAGAATGGGAGTCCAATATGGTGTCTGGGCTGTTTCCTTGGAGTTTGAAGTCAGATGAAAACGACATTCCATGAAAACGACACATTTTGCTAAGGGGAAAAAAATATGAAGAGAACCTCTCTTCATTTCTTGTCCTATGCTTCTCTGAAGGGTTATTTTGGGCCCTGAATGAGGACTTAGAGGCAAGCATGAATAAAAAGAGAGAAAGAACGACACTGTGCAGAGATAAGAAGCACAAATATGAAAGTTTTGCAGTTCCTAAATCACAAAATGGGTTTGTAAAACACTTAAGGAAGATTTCAGCACTAGAAATAACAGCATTGTGCCTTCCTAATCTCTCGAAGGTTAATAGCTTAGGACAGAACAGTTAGGAAAACAATGAAGCAGAGCAAGAGTAGGTCAGACCTGGAAGAAGAAAATGAAGAAAACTCAAGCCTGTAGGGAAACATTTTGAATGTTTTAATTCTAAAGTCAGCTTAGAGATTATCTTTACAGGATTAAAATCTCTGACTTTGTTGTAATAAATGAATTTAAACAGAACTTGCTCAAGCGAGGATGGTTTCCTATCTGTCATGACAAATAAAAGTGATATCAGATGTTTAGCAGTAGCTCAATATCTACTGCTACAGCTGGATAACACTTCTTTCCCAGCATGCTCTGTAAGGAGAAAATAACCAACAACAAATGGTCTTTGTCTGAGGATTTGCATAATTGTAAAACTAACTGCAAAGAAATGCCCACGCTAGAAAGCTGTTGCAAATACTCATATGCTTATTGCACCTAAGATACACTGTGTGAAAAGAAGGAAGGGAGAAGACACTTGGTAATAGGAGGCTATGCATAAAGCAAAGGCTGAGTGAGAAGCAGTGCATGGATTTTGAAGCTGGGCATGTTCAGGATGGAAATAAAATGCCAATCTTCACAATGTGAAATAATTTTGTGGGTTGTCTGAGCTGGAACAGGCTGCCAGGGAGGTGGTGGAGTCTCCTTCTTTGGAGATGTTCAAGACCTGCCTGGATGCCGACCTGTGCGACCTGCTGTAGGGAACTGCTTTGGCAGGGGGTTGGACTCGATGAGCTCTGGAGGTCCCTTCCAACCCCTGCAGTTCTGTGATTCTGTGATTCACAATTTGATAACCCTGTTCACAGGAGTATTATGAGATACCTTTTCTTTTTTCCCCTAAAATGATATTGATTTGTGCCATAATGCCCTGTGAAATAACACATTAGCCACTTGGTCAAAAATCACTAGGTAGGCAGAAATAGAAGAGGTGATATTAATAAATTTCGAGGCAGCACAGACACTGATGACCAGGAAAAAAAAAAAGCAGAGATCGTTAAGTAGGATGACAGATATTGGTAATTTAGGGCAAGAAACACATTGGATGTGAGATAGAAATCTACATACCTGAAGTAAGGCAGCCTTCCAAGTCGGTACAGCAGTACTGATATTGTGGGAGCGTCAGAATGGCAGCATTTCAGATCAGATGTCCTTTCTTTTTTGCTTTCTGCCGGGCTTTTTAATTTCTCCTTTCCTTTGTTTTCATTTCCTCGTTTGCAAAGTGCTGAGGCTTCTGTGACTTAGCTCTCGGTGCTGCTGCCTGGCATTGCAAGAACCGGCTGCTTCGACCACACAGGAATTGACAGAAGAGGGTGCTGCAGCATTGCAAAATGGAATAAGGAGAGGCATACAGCTCTGCGAGTCCTGAGCATCGATTTCTGAGGAGTAGATTGCAAAGAGACAGTTGGTTTCAATTCTGTGTTGTGACTGTGGTTCAGCTGCCATGCCGTACCCTGAGGTCCCATCCTGGAAGGGCTGCGGGGTCTGGGGCTGAGCTGGAAAAGCAGTGATGTTGGAGTTCCAGTAGGAACTGACCGTGTGCCCACTTGATGGAGAAATCATCAACGTGGAAGCTTGGGGGAAAAGGGCAAGATGTATATGCCACACACTCCTTGCCATTAAGTCTATGAGTAATTTGTCTTATCTTCATTTGTACTTTCTGTAGAGTGAATTCTGTAGAGTGAATTTAATCTTGATTAAATCGGTCTTGTGCTTCATGTTTTACAGTGGTAATTAAGGTAACACACGCTAAATTTAGTCAGGAAACAACACACATCAGCTCTGTCCTCCAAAATAAAGGGATCCTGTCCTCCCAGCTCCTCTTATGTATTCAGTTGGATTCTCTCTTGGCTCTCTTGAATCTGAACTCACAATGAGCACCAGTTTCTTGAAAGAAAGAGGGGAAGGGAAGGGAAGGGAAGGGAAGGGAAGGGAAGGGAAGGGAAGGGAAGGGAAGGGAAGGGAAGGGAAATTATCTTCACAGCTCTCAGCTCCCTCCTGTGAACTTTTAGGAACAGACTTTGCTGGATTCAGATGTTGAGGAGCCTCAAATTCCTGCCCAGAGCTCTATGAGAAATTGTGGAATTCAAAATGAAAGTTTATGAAAGATGATCTTTTGAACTGCTTTGAGGAAGGAGATTCACTCTGTGCTTCTTCCTATGAGAATTTGGGGGTGAAGAGGCTGGGTGAGGGGAGTGGGTCCAATCCTGAAGCTCACAAGCATTTTCTGCATGGGGAGTGCGGCCCATTTGCCATACAAGGCCTCCAGGAACAGAGTTTAGAGGAAGAACATTGGAGAAGCAGTTAAATAATCATTTCTGAAACATTTTTGAGAAGAATTGCAAAAGGCTGCACTCTGCTCCTAAACTATTTGGGAAAACAAGCATGAAAATTAGTTGAGAAGCCCAATGTATGACGTTAAAAAAAACAATTTTTCCCTCATGAGACAGTGCAGAACTGTTCCTTCTTTTAGATTTCTTCTTACATTTTCAAAGATGAGGAGATGATGAGCTGCCATTATTTTGTCTCTTCAAATGGATTCCTAGGTGACAATTTAGAAGGGGTGCAATGGGCCCTTTAGGTCAGTGCCCAGAAAGCAGCTTGAAAGTTCCCTCAAAGCAACAACAGAAGATATTTCATTGCTAATGGAGCAAGAGATGCTTCATAAAGATGAGCAGTTGCAATGAAAATAAACCATTTGGGGTGGTTTAAACAAACAAACAAAGCAAAACAAAACCTGGCAGGCTTTTTTATAGCAGCAGAAAACAAAGTGGGCAAAAACAGAAACCACCCCCAGCGTCCTTTGGGATTATTGGATCCAAGGTTAGTGTAATTGCACTTAAAACAACAAAACTCAAGCATCTTTCTTATGCTTTTTTGCACTGTTTCCTTGTATACCTTGAGAGAAACTGACTCTGAAACACGAAAGTGGACGGGTACAACTCTGCCATTACTTCAATACAGCACAAAGCAGGAAATGACTGCTTTATTCGTTGAGCACTGGCAGGAAATGCCCAACATAGAAACCGCACTTCTAAGACACTGTGCCTTCCATCAAAGGGCTGCAGGCAGCTTCAAAGCAACTTCCTAAGCTGTAGAAAACAGTCAGAGAGGGAGGTGCTATGGGTTGGGGAACAGTGAGCATTTCTGGTTGAATTGTGAGGAGAAAAGTGGAAGTGTGAGTGAGTGGAAAATAAGCTTGAAGGGGCCGCAATTGATGAGTGCGAGGGCAAAACACAGAATGACAGAATCACAGAATGGACAGGGTTGGAAGGGACCTCAAGGATCACGAAGCTCCAACCCCCTGCCACACGCAGGGCCACCAACCTCCCCATTTCATAGCAGCCCAGGCTGCCCAGGGCCCCATCCAACCTGGCCTTGAACACCTCCAGGGATGGATGGGGCATCACAGCCTCTCTGGGCAGCTGTTCCAGCACCTCACCGTTCTCATAGCAAAGAACTTCCCCCTGACATCCAACTGAAATCTTCCCTCCCTCAACTTCAAACCATTTCCCCTTGTCCTGCTGTTATCTCCCCTTTCAAGGAGTTGATTCCCCTCCTGTTTGTAGGCTCCCTTTAGGTACTGCAGGCTGCAATGAGGTCACCCCGCAGCTTTCTTTTCTCCATGCTGAAAAAGCCCAGCTCCCTCAGCCTGTCTTTTTGGGGAGGTGCTGCAGCCCCCTGATCATCTCTGTGGCTCCTCTGGACCCTCTCCAACAGCTCCCTGTCTTTCTTGTATTGGGGGCTCCAGTCGTGGACGCAGCACTGCAGATGGGGCCTCACAACAGCAGAGTTCCTTAGAGCCCAAGCTACGCATGGCTTCATCCCACGGCCGCGCGGGGGCGGCCCCGGCCCGCAGGGAGCGGATTGCGCTGCGCCCCGCACCTGCCGCCCCGCCCCGCCCGCTGCCCGCCCCGCGGAGGCGCTGCCGAGTCGGGCCGGGCCGCCTGGGGAGCGGAGCCGCCGCCGGAGCTGCGTCCGCTATGGGGACGGCGTACGCGCGGATGCGCTGCATCAAAATCTTGCTGTTCATCTTCAATCTGAGCTTCTGGGTGAGCGCCGGGCTGCGGGCGGAGTGGGAAGGGCGGAACAGCGGCACCTGCGGGACGCGGGCTGGGCGGGGGGCTGCGGAGGGCACGGCCGGATCAGCGACCCGGGCTGCGGACACCGGCCGTCCCGTCGCCCTGCCGTAGCCTGTAGGGCTGTCCTGCATCGCAGGAGGAGGTCCGCGAGTCCCCCTGTGCGATGGGCTGAGTTTACACTGCGAAAGAGCAGCGTGCCTCTGCTCTGCCGTTTCGTGAAGATGCGTCTCGTCCTGGGAAAACTTGATGGAGGAGGGCATTGCTGAGAAGAGATAACATCTTGTTTTCAATGGTAACTTGAAATAGCGACCATCTCCACAGCAAACATAACTTTGCAAACTGCAGAGGCCGTGTGAGATTCTCCCAGCATCCCCTGCAGCTTCTTGCAGTGCTTATCCACAGTACGAGGAGCTACGAGATCTGGTTTAGTGGCTTGTGGTAGGAGTGGTAATGGGAGGACGGTTGGACTAGATGATCTTGTAGGTCCTTTCCAACCTTGTGATTCTATGATTCTGAATCTGTGATGCTTTCTCATAATATCCTTTCAAATGGCGAAGAATAGCACTCACTGCAACACCCTGAAGAGATCAGGGAATGCCTTTCTCCTATCGTAACAGATTTTCTCTATGCTCACAGTTTCATAGCACAATTTATTTCAAGTTATCTTTTCTCCCCATGTTGCATTTTCTCTTCCCATAGTTTTCCAGTTTCACATTTAGAAACAAAGCCTTTTAAAGCATCTTTTTCTTGCTTTCTGATTTGCTGGAGAGAAAAAAAGGTCACATAATAATCCTGTTCAGCCTCTCTGGAGCAACCAGCTTTGAGATTTTGTCTCCTTTAAACACATGATACTAAATGCTTTTGCTTCTTGGTGACAGCTCTGCAAGCCCTGGGTACACAGTGCTGCTGTGCTCTGGGAGCAGAATTATGTTGCTCAGCTGCAGCTGCAAGTTAGTGAGAGAAGGACAAAGCTTTGTCACAAGAGTGACAATTACTTGTGTTTTGTTATCTGTCTTTTCACTGAGATGGAAGAAAGCAGCTCCTCAGCTGGACTGGGGCGTTCCTTTCAAACACTTCCAGACTGTCACAGGCACTCATGGCCTGGATGGACAAGAGGGTCTGTGCTGCCCAGCAGTTCACAGGCTGAGCCCACTCTGTAAGCAGGGGAGGTACAAACACCAGCGCTGTACTCTGTGGTGTGACTTATTTCATTCTTCACCTTCTCAGAGGGAAGTGTTAATTCCAAGCTATGTTTGTCTGCCTTCTTTGCTTTCTTAGAGTGCTAGCTGGATCATAGTGCCACGCAATGCAAGATAGAAGCAAAAGGCACCAAGTGCACTGGGGTTGGTCAGCTGCAGGTGTTTGGTGACTTTGTTCAGGCTGGGTGGTTGCTGGAGACCTGAGCTCTAAGCCTCCATCAGTAGAGTAGGAGAACATTCATAGAATCCTAGAATATCCCAGCTTGGCAAGATTGAGTCTACAGAAGGACGGCTCCAGTTCCAAACTCTATGTCTGAGGGTGTCCAAATGCTCCTTGAAGGCCAGCAGCTTGGGGCCATAATCAGTGCCCTAAGGTGACCTGCTCTATGCCCAGCCATCCTCTGGTGCAGAACATTGGCACCCAGCATGGTGCAGCTCCATGCCGTCCCCTTGGTACTGTCATTTTTCACCAGAGGCAGAGATTCCTCCCCTGTGAGGAAGCTTTATGCTGCCATGAAGTGGCTGTGGGCCGCCATGAGGCCTCCCCTCACTCTCCTTTTCTCCGGAGAGAGCAGACAAGGAGACATCATCCACCACTCACACATCTTGCCCTCCAGACCCTTCACCATCTTCGTAGCCCTCCTTTGGGTGCTTTCTACACAGAACTGTGCCGGGTCCTTGTGGCCTGAGGCACTGCCTAGAGGTGTTTCCCCTCTGCTGATGTTCCTTGGCACTCCTGTTTGATTTTGCCATTTGCACTAAAAGGAATGTTTCCCTGAATTTGGTAGCCTCTCATGCTTCTTTGTTAACCATTTATATGATCCGAGGTATTGCGTACTGTAATAAGCACCTCCAAATTCTGATAGGGAGTCCCATAGGAAAAATGCCTGCCAGAATTGGTCCAGAGACACTTAACTTTAGCACATGTTGAAGAACAACGCTAGCCTTTATTTCTGGTAAGCCTCTAAACAGAATCTTCTCACAACTCGGCAGCAGCAGTAATTCTGAAATGGCTGAAAGTTTTCCTCTTGTTTGGTATGATGATGGAGGTCCAGCTGGTCTCTTCATACTGTCACATATCTTGTGACCCTGGAGCTGGACCTGTGATGCCTTCATGGAAAGGGGGATCTCTTAGCACAAAAGGCTGTTAATTTGCCCTAAAACAGGTAAGAGGATTAAAAAATGTCAATTAATGTACTTCTTTCTGTTTGGTTTGTGTCATGCCAGCAGTGTTCGATTACTGGTCCAGCAGTGCTCCCACAGATCACGCTTTTCCCACAGCAGCAGCATCTTGGCTCCAGGCTGAGGCCATGAGTGGCCTGCTGCCTGCAGTATGGCTACAGTGCAGTGGTTGGTCTTCTGGTAGGTAGGAAGGAAAGCAGTGCTTCCCATTGGATTTGCATCCTGTCTGTTCTAATGGATGCTCACACCCTCACCTCTCTGGCCTTTTGTTCCCGTATTCCTTGTCTATCACAATTCAAGCCAAATTGTAATGTCTGGAGGAGCTTATGTTCAAGGTTTGAAAGTCACTGGTAAGTTAAGAGGCACCAAAGCTGAGGAGCTGGAAGAACAAAATGCGTTGCACTGTGATAGGAGTTCACAGTTATCAAATACTAGCAAGAGCTTCCTGAGTTTTTGATGGTGTAATGTTGAGCTTTCGGATTTCAAGAAAGTGTAAAATGCCACAGACACTTTCTTTATGTTCTCCAGCCAGTTGTTATTGAAGTATTGACTAATCTGTGTGTTTTCCAGCTGGCAGGATTGGCTGTCATTGCCTTTGGTCTGTGGCTGCGGTTTGGTGGGGCTATGGCAGAGTTTGCTTCAGACAAAAGGTCTCCAGAGTATTTCTTCATAGGTAAGTTGTGATGACAGCAGCCAATAGCCTTGGCTTCATTCTTAGGGCATGGGAAATAGCTCAATATTTGAATTATGCAAAGGCCAACAATACCTGAACCAAACTGCACAAAACCGGGTGTTCTGGTGCTGTGTCTTGTGAGTGATGGCCTTCACCCTCTCTCCTTGTTATCAGTTTCCTTAGGCCTAACTGAAAAGCCTTTCTTGATTCCCTTAGGTCTAACTGAACTCTTCTCTCAGACTTGATCCACTTCCCGCATATCCTAAGTGAATTGTGCTTATACTGTTGCAGTAGTAATTGAGATGGGTCAGAGACTCCTGCAACACAGAGCTCACCAATATATCCTTCTATGCTTTCTGTGCAGCTTCTAACCAGAAAAGCAACGGTGTCATTTCTGAATGCCTCTGGCACCAGCAGAGGAAAAAGAAAGGCTTCTGCTCACCAGTCCTCCCTGTGTCTGTAAGCAGAGGCCTTCAGTGTGATTTTAAGTGTCAGAGCAAATCCTTCTACAGCTGAAAGCTGCACGATGCTTGGTCATCTCAAGAGCTGTTCATCTAAGCGAGGCAGGAAGCAACAAGTTCCCCAAGCCCACACAATTGGTTTTGGTCACTTCTAATTTTAGGCATTTAACAATTGTTTTTTTTTCTCCCTAGTTATGTTTTTTGGAAACACCACTTGTGTGTCTCTATAGAAGTGTTTATAAGAGCAGCTGTCCACGATAGCCAGCAACTGCATTTCTTCATCCATTGGCAGTTGCAACTTGCCTTTACATTAGAAGGGAGAGGGTTGTTTTTTTTTGTTTTAATGTTTCACCCCTTGAGTTAGACTGAGCCAATACAATCCAATTTGTACAGTTATTTTTGCCATCTGAAAATGCCAGGTGAATGAATACCCATTCAGCCATCAGTCCATCCTGGCACAGTGTCCAGGAGCTGACTTGACCCAGCATGTCAAGTTACAGTCAGTTGCCCGTCACGGGAATATTGACTGGACTGTGCAGTTCCTTTAGATACACCCATTCTCTTAACAAAGGCCACCACCCCGATACACCATAGTCTTAAGTCAAAGCTTTTTTGATATATGCATGGAACAAGGCCAGAACACAGAGCTGACTGTACAGCACTGAGGGAATAAATGGGTTGAGTGTTATGTCCAGCAAAGCTTTCGCTGGAGTTTGGGAGGCTGAATAAAACCATTCAGATGGAAATGTGACTGGGATCTGAGGGATGCTGCAAAGTGCTCTGTAGCATCTCCACTGACACAGAGAACCACGAAGTATCATTTATTTTTTCTCTTACATCTGAGCTGCTGTCTCAGCAGCACATTGAACCATTACCTTTATTTCCAGATCCAGTTTATATCTGCTGAATTTCCTGTGCCGTATCTTGAAACTCTCCCCTGCCTTACCCACTTATATTTGATCCTGGAGCTTCAACAAGACACAGGGAAGGTTCTGTCCTTCAAATTAACTACTGTTGGTTTGTTAGAAGCCAGAAAGTAAAAGCTGTAGAGAAAACAAGTCCTAGCTTTGCAGAGTAATGCTGTGTAAACAAGATTTTCTTTGGTGGCAATCTCTGACAGATTTAATCTGCTTCAGTCCTCAGTAAGAACTGCAAAAGCTATTGAGAATTGTTCATTTTAGGAAGTCCTGGGGAATGTTGCTGTAAAAGTCTAGTCGTGCTCCGTGACATTCAACTACTGGGCTGATTGTCACGTGTATTTGTAGAGCTGTATGCTGTAATATGTAACAGCTAGCAGAGGAAGTGATAAGGAACAGGACATAAATATATTGAGAGTTCTTTTTAACCTGTACTTTTGGCTGAACTCTAGGGCAAGGTTTTGACCCTTTTTTGTAATAGGCAGACTTGAGCAAGTCTGATAAAGAAAAAATAATAATAATCTGCTTCCCACTCTCATAACAAATCATATTAAATGCTGTTATGACTTCTGAGCATCTGAGGGGTCAGCCAGTCAGAAATCTGAGCGTGTTAACAGTCTGTGACTAAGGCAACGGTAAAAGAATGGTGATTAATTCAGTACCCGTGTTTTAGGCAGCAAGCGTGGCTGCAGTCAGTGGTCATGCTTGAGTGCTTTAGCACTCATTTTCAGCTCTAAGTCCCTCGAACGTCTGTGCATTCAACACATCTCATGGTGTTTCTAGGAGTACTGTTTATTTGGCTGTGTGCATTTGCTCAGTAACACGCAGTCTGGGCGACAGCCCGAACTCTGCATAGCAATTCTTAATATGGAATTCTGTGCAGTCCACAAGAAGCAGCTGCCCAGAGGGCTGAAGGAGAAAGCAGATTGTCAGCGTGACCTGGAGATATGAGCATACAGCTGTATGTCTAAGAGCAATTTACTTAGCTCTACACTGATTGCTCTTGTGACAACTCACCCTCTGAGATCAGATCAGCTCCGTGTCAGTGCTTGGAACAACACTGCAGTTGCATTTAGATGTTTGTAGGCTGAAACACTGCCTGGAATCACCATCTTGTGGGCAACGTCTCCTTTTCTTGCTTTCAAAGAGCAGCATATTCTGTTGGCTTTTAATTATTTGTTCCTTTTTTGTGTGTATTTTTTGTTTTTTTTTTAAACCTGTTCTGAGCTGCCAGCTGAAGCTACCCAGCCTCTCTCTGTTTCCTGGTGATTTTTTTTTTTTTCCTGGATTGGAAATTTTGTTTTAGTTTAAAATAATTGGTAATTATATCCTTGCATTTTCCATTAGGATGGAAGAGTGTCCCTAAATAGCCCTGTTCTTTACCAGCAGTTCAACCCCTGGAATAGTTCAGGCCAGGACTTGGCACTCAGGCCTGCTCAACTTTTCCAGCCAATTCAGTGTTTGTGTTGGTTTGAGAGCAGCTAGCAGGCAGCAGTGTTGAGGTCAGGCACATATGTGGTGTTAGTTTCCCATTGCTTGTGGTTTTGTGTTCAGTGATCTATATTCCCCACTGCAGGTTGCAGTTCTTTAAACTACAACATAAGGAAATGGAACTGGAACTCCTTCACCCACGCAGTCTCCATCTGCTCTGCAGGGTGCATCTCTCAGAGTGGAGTGGAGTCTTCTCCTTCCAGCTCCCCAGCTTTTGGAAATCCCATTGCAGTGATGAGGCATGACGATGTTTGCATGTTGTTCCATCCCATTGTGGTTTAAAAAAAAAAAGAAGATAATTTCAGCAAAGTCAGCAGCTGGATGATAACATCTGAGTTGTCTGTGACCCTGTGCTGACCAAATGGGAAAAAGATCTTTTGCTCCTTTAATTAGCTGTTTGTAATAGTGCTGTTCTTAAATTAAATATACACATATATACACTTGAGCACAGATGTGAAGACAGAGTGCCAGCTGAGCACAAGTTCAGCATTTATGAATAGAGAACTAAGACAGGGACTTTTAAAGTGTCAGTTCAAGACATTTGCTCTCTTTTCTTTGCGTGAAAGTCTGTTTTGGCTCGGTGGGCAGCGTGGAGGACAAATTTAGTGTATCCCTAACCAATGGAGTGCAGTGAGGGTCACCTCGGTGCCAGTAGCACTGAAAATGAAGCCTCATCAAGAACGGTAACAACTGATGAATGTGAACGCATCAACTTGGATGGCTCTCAGAACTGGCAGCACTGAATCATTGCTTCTCCAGCACAGACAGAGCTCACCAAATTTCTGCCATGTTATGGTCTTTGCTCCAGTTCTGTGCTTCAATCCAGAGCCAGGCCAGCTGTGAGTAGAAGTTTCAGGGTGGCTGTGGCTTTTTTGTGGGGTCCGAGAGAACATGAGTGATCATTCTGGCTTCGAACAGCACGGTTAGATGGTGCATGCCTTAGGATATGAAGTCATGTCTGGAGTTGAAGGACATTAGTATTTTTTCTCCATTGGAATGGGTGCCCATGCAAACAAGAGTTGGCTAGCAGTTAAATCAGTGTAAACTGCAATTCCTGTGCCTCGTTCTCTTATATTCTATTCATGTATTTTGTAGTCAGGCACTGGACCCTTACTTAGCAGTATTTTCTCTCCAAAATTCATAGCCTCACAAGTTCTGTCAGTCTTAACAGGAGAGCTGTTGACAAAGGAGTCTCTGTGTAGAGATGCAGCACCACAAGTGGAACGTTGAGTGGTCCTGCTATTTGCACTGAGCCTTGCAGAGGCTTTTAGTATGTACTTAGAATGTAAGCAGTGAACTAATCTGCCTTTCTACCATCTTCTGTGCAAGTTTCTTCTGCAGTTGAAGGGTGGTTTGGCAAAAGCTGATAGTGGCCCTGAGTGGAAAATGGAAGCTGCTGCACTGGAAATCAGCTTATGATGATCATCAGTGCCCCTACCTCCAAAAAAAAGCACCCACTACCTGAACTCTGACAGTGTGATTTACACAGTACATGGGGCATCCCCTGTCCTACCTCAGTGAGTGATTACACAGTTGTGTTCTGTTCTGGTCACTCAGCCCATCAGAGGCAGCTGACAGCACAGTGGTCTGCAGGCCAGAGCTGCAGAGGTTTAACAGTTCAGCTTTTCTAGAAACAGCTCCAAAGCGAAGAAGGCAGTGATGTTCTTGTATGACTGAATAGCCGCTGAAGGCTGTGTGACACTGTGTACAGATGATTCTGTTTGTCATCTTTAGTGTATGTCAATTTATTAATCTTTAATCCTCAATCTAGCCATGTTAAAAGGCATAAATACAATGGTTATATGCAGAATTACGTAGCTACGTTTCCAAGTGTTTTCATTTTACTGTCCATTAAATATTTTAATAGGTGTATATTGAGGTGCTGGGAGGCATCAAGCCAGCTTGTATCTGTAATTCTTTTGTGGTTCCAGGAAGATTAACTGCATAATATCTGTCACATTCACATGAAAGAGAGAATTATGTCTGTACGTTGTGCTCAAGTTAAGGATATGCTCCAATTCTCCAGAAATTCATCTTCCTTCAGAGGACTCTGCCTCTCTTCTCCATGTATTTTATAAATGTATCCAGAATACGTATTTACTACAGATCTGTTAACATAAAAATGATTATCTCTGTTAACACACCTGGTAACTCTGCCACTCAGTGAACCACTTGTCTGGTTTGTTATTTCCAACCTCTGTGGGTGTTTCCCATCTTTTCCAATGCTGCATTTGCTCTATGGGTTCCTTCGTGTTCTACTGAGGGCTCGAAAGCCTCTGTCCATCAGTGAGATATCTCCAGGACTGTAACTCACAGTGTCAGGAAAACCTATTCTGGTCGTGTCTGGGTTCTAGGACTCCTGTCATCACTGCCTCTGGATCACTTATGCCAAGAACAGAGCTGCTTGTTTTCTCAGCAGCGTATGAACAGTTGGCGTTTTGTTTGCTGTTAGTTACTCAGCCCAAAAAAGAAAGAGTTGAACTATTTAAAATGGAAAGTGACCATAGCAGCCAGGTAAACAAGAAACCCATGTGAAATAAAGCCAGAGAGATGGTGTAGGATTGTCTGCTCCGGCTCTTTACGATAGGCTGCAGGCGTGGGTTTGTGCCCCAGAGCTGTCAGTAAGATTTTGAAGAAAACCAGCTCTGTGAATGGGCTCTGCTTCAGGCTCTGAATTGAGTTCTTTACCAGTCCAGGAGGCTGGCAGAGTATTTCTGATGGTGGTGGATTTGTGTCTGAAATAAGAATGCTTTTAACATCAGTACGTTCCTAATCTGCCTGGTTTGCATTATGTTTCCTTTCTGCTTCATAAAGCATGGCATTATATATATCTGCCTATCAGGCTGCACTGGGGTATCCCCTTTGCAGTGGAAGCCAGCGGGGAAGTAACCTGGTCACCGATTTTTTTACAAGGTGGTCTTCAATATACCTGGTTTGAGGCAATCCCAGACAGGCTGGGCAGTGGGTGGATAAAGTCCTGTGGAGGAGGACGTGGCATTGGTGGATGAAAGGCTCAACTTGAGCCACAGAGTGCGCTTGCAGCCCAGAAAGGCAACCATAACTTGATCTGCTTCAAAAGAAGTGCATCTTGCAGGTCAGAGGAGGTGATGGACCCCACCTGGGGCCTGCAGCATGAGGCCATAGCCCCATTGGAGTGGGAGCAGAGGGGGGCAACGAAGATGATCGGAGGAACGCAGCACCTCTCCTATGAAGTAAAGGCTCTGAAAGTTTGGGTTTTTAGCCTAGAGAAGGCTCCAGGGAGGCTTTATAGCGGCCTTCCTGTACTTAAAGGAAGTGTAAAAATGGGGAAAGACTCCATCAGGGAGTGCAGTGACAGGATAAGAGGCAATGGCTTTGCACCCCAAAAGGGTGGGCTTGGGTTAGATATTCAGAAGAAATTGTTCACAATGGGTGGTGAGGCCCAGCGAAGTTGTGGATGCTCTGTTTCTGTCAATGTTCAAGGCCAGGTTGGATGGCCCTTAGAGCAACCTGGTGTAGAGGAAGGTATCCCTGGCTGTGGCAGGAGGTTGGAACGAGATGGTCTTTGAGGTCTTTGAGGTCCTTTCCAACCCAAACCATTCTATGCCTGTTATAAAAATGTCTTATTTCTGGGTGAAAGGTTGCGTGTGTGTATGATAGTAGACACTTAAAAGCATCTTTAGTTCTACAGATATATATATATATATATATATATTTACATGTCCTCAGTATCTTTCACCTAGAAGGAGCACTCTGAGTATCAGCACTTACTAATCCCAAGTTGAGCATGAACAAACTCCAGAATTAACTCTCCTGAATACAAGATGGAAGAAGGTGGATTTGAACTCCTGGCTAGCAGAACTGTGGGCCCAAGGGCAAACAGCAAATTCAGCTTTGTTTAGTGTGTGGTGTGAGAAGTTCTTCCTGTAGCATGCCTTAAAATGGAAGTTCTGACTGAGGTAGCGGTTTAGTTGTGAGTCATGCCTGTGAAATGCTAAGGCTGCTCGTCAGGAAAGAGCAAATCCAGGGTTTGGAAAGTGGTCTTACCCCTGGACCTCAGAGAACTTTGTCTTTGCTAGCTGGAAGCAGCAAAAAGGAGAGGGAAGGTTTCTCTCCTGTCTTGCTAATAAAAAAGTCTCTCCTAAATTGCCTGATAAGTAATTACAGGGATTGAAGTAGGAAGTAATATGCAGAAAACTGCCCAGGAAACATCTTGGTAATTACACTGCATTTGTTACCATGGAGATCTCAGAAAATGGCAGTTTGGGTGTTTGGCAGTTGAACAGCAGGTTCTGCATCTTGTATTGAAACGGATGGTTTTTTTGCGCTTCTCCTTTGATGGGGGCTGACCTTTACTCCTGACCTGCAGGCATCTTTGTGTATCTTTCCCTAAGTGAAAGCATTCACTGTGTCGTGAATATGTGTCCAAGCATTAGAATGCTCAGTCCTGGGAAGCCACAAGATGCTGAATATTACAAATCTAGAAAATACATAACATGAAGTGCCAGCACTGTCAGCAGCAAATCCCACTTATCCGCTGCCACAAATCTGGCAAAGCCATATTAATTATAATTGTTTTATCACTATTTAGAAGAATAGGTTTTTTTTCCTCAGCAGTAATCACTGGCACAGGGCATGAAGGACGGAGGAAGAAGAGGAGAATTGCAATACCTGGGACAGGTATCTGGCTAATACAGCTAATACAGCTAATACAGTGACACACCAGTGAATGGACAGCAGGCAGGAGTCTGCTTTCTTCAGGCAGGCTACCCCTGTGTGGCAGTATCCTCTCCACTTGTCTATCCTCATATTTTTTCTGTTACTTTATTTTCATTTTCCTAGCAATCCATGCAAACTGTCAGTTGCAGGGCTTTGTAAAAGGCTCGGTCACACAAGGTCTGATAGTAAATGCCTGCAGCTCTGAACATGACGTCAGATCTTAGAATCTGTCAGTTGGTCATTGAGAATGCTAAATGCTGACACGAAAAGTTTGAGTAATCAGAGCTTAGAGGAGAGCTCACTGTGCCATCTAGTGTGCTCAGTGTGCAGCTCCAGTGTCTTTTCATTGCAGCTCAGGGAAAGAAATGAAGCTGCTTTTTCAGACAGTAGACTGGCATGGCAGATCTCTGTGTCCTCCATGTCGCCCACACAAGTCCAAGACTAGAATTACAAGACACTACGCAGAGCCTTTGGTACTTTGGCTGGCATGGCATCCAGAGATAAAGCTCACAGTTGTGGTGGTTCTGTAGAAACTGGCACCACACACGAAGTCTGTTCATGTTTGCCAGTAAGGAAAGAATTCTTTGCTCTGGTTTCTTTTTGTCCCAGATAAAGCCTGTATTAATAAATAAAGAAATAAACTGCTGGGTAGAAGTATTTTCAGCAGCTTTATAGATAGCAGAAATGAATGCAATTCCTCTTACCCCTGCAGTTTCTGTACTACCAAGTTCTGGGCATAGCTGGTATGCTAAGTCTGTTGTTCTAAGTAAGTATGGGGCTATAGTGCCATCTCCTATGTCCTGTACTTGTCTCAGGGTGGCCCTTTGTTGGCATTCTCATCCACAGATTGCTTCATTATGCTCTTAATGCATTTAGTCTGATGCTCTACTGCTTGCTGTTTACATCATTACATTTGTCCATGGGCAGATAACTACTTTGGCCCATAGCCTCAAGTCCATTCTGCAACACAGTCCCACAAAGAGGTTCCCTGAGGTGTCTGAGCATTTCCCAACACTAATTAACAACTGCAAAACATTAAGCTATGACTGTCCGGAACAAGAAAGCAATGCAGTGTTGCCACTGGCTGCTGCATGTGGGCAGCATGTATCGTGAGTTTAAGGCTGTGCATGCAAGGTTCCTGGTCTGAGCTGCTCTGGACAAAGGAAGCTTGGGAAGTGAAAGTCTTTTTGTTTATCTCTATGAGATTTTCCAAGAATTCTGAAGAAATCACTGGTTTTGTTTTGTGGTGAGAGCATCTTCTCTGGGTAGTAGATATTCTTTGTGAAAGCCAGAGACCACTGTTAGTTAAAAATATGTGTTTTTGGCAGAACAGGCATCGAACTTTGAGAAGAGGAAACCTTAAATTCTGATCTCGATTTTCCCTAGGTCTGTATGTGTTGGTGGGAGCAGGGGCTCTCATGACCACAGTTGGATTCTTTGGGTGCTGTGGAGCAGCGCGGGAGTCTCAGTTCTTACTTGGAGCAGTAAGTGAAAGTTTCAAGGGGCTGGAAGTGCTGTGAAATGATTCCAAAGATTCTTCTGTCATTAGTGGAGGGACCTTTGCTGTCCAAGATCTGAAATGTCCTCTGTCCTTTTACGGGTTAATCCATCATCTGTAGTTGCTGTGTTAATGCATGGCTTGCATGCATTGCCTCCTATAACACATTTCCTGGAATTACCTTGTCATTCCTGAAACTACATCTGAGCCACACTGTGCCATTTCCACCTTTGTTTTCTTGGTACAAGAAGGCTGACTTGATGCCCTTATCACTGACACTGCTCATCAGCTTATTGTCATTCACTGTGTGAGCCCTTGAGGTCTAGACAAGGATAACAGATTGAGTGGCAGTACATTAAAGCACACTGTGCAGAATACACTAACATAAGGTTCTGTTCTCCCTCTGCAGTTCTTTGCTTGCTTGTTGGTGATATTTGCAGCTGAGATCACCGCTGGAGTGTTCGCATTTATAGGCAAGAAAGTGGTGAGTAGCAATCCACTTCTGAGCTAACAATGGGGCAGTTCTGGGTTCCTGTGGCTGATTGACCTACAGGCTGGCTCATATTCAGGAGAGCTTTCCTTTCTTCCTAGCAAAGCTCTTTAACATTCTTATCTGCAGTAAATTAGAGCTTGTGTTATCACAAATCCAACTTCAGAATGGGATGCTGATTTTGCCCCTCCTTCTCCTCAATAAAGACTGTCTGTGCTGTTGAAGGAACATCAAGTAGAACTCTACAGTAGGAGTGTATTTCCTGGGAGAAGGGCAAATGAATTCAAACACTGAATTTATCCAGCTAAGAACTGTTTAGCCAAAACACAGAATGCAGCAGGCCACAAAGCCTCCTGTCTTTCCTACCATGTCTACCTCAGTTTACCAGGAATTATTTTCTGCTCTGGAGGTTGATGACTCAAGCTGGAAATCTGCACTGGATTGAGAGTAAGACTTATTTGCCTCTCACTTGGCAAGTCTGATTTCTGCAGGCAATACAGGAAGCCCAGAAAATCTATGAAGACATCTATGAGGAGTACATGAAAAACCCGGGGAAGGTGAACAGAACCATCTATCACTACCACTTGGCTGTGAGTAGTCATCCTGAGCTTAAACACCTTGTGTTACTACTCTACTGTCACACTAGCATTTAAGCTTCAGAATGTCTCCCATGGGGGTAGGAAGGATAGAACTGAGTGCTGCTTAAAATGGACTCAGAGTCTCATGGCTCTGTTTCCGGATGGTTGTGTCACAATTTTGGGTTTTAGATCCCAACTGATTCCTGTCTTTGAAAGTAAGAGTGGCCAGGCTTTTAAATTTGAAGCTAATGCTTCTGGTCTTTATTGTGCAGAAGATATGCCTACTATGGACATTGTTTTGTTTTCAAATCAAGGCATAAATACACCAAAATGCAGAGAGAAATAGAAAGGTGAAAATCTGCGTTTTTTTTCTGAGGAAAAACTGCCCAGAGGAACTGCAGTGTTACCAATGGCAAGTGAAGTGACTGAACTGAGACTGAGCCCAGCAGAGGAAAAACAAAAAGAACAGAATGCATGACTCCATTCAGGCCACCCAAAGAGTTGGGGTCTGAATCAGAATTAGGACCTGTGACTTGGGAATGTCACTCGTGTCTGTCATCCTGTGTCTACAGTGCCTCCCATAGAGATTCAGCCCTCGCTTACAGCATTCTCACGTTCTTTAGAATAAACATTTCACAACCTCAGACCTTTTTGTCCTTCCTTCGTGGCTGTTATTTCTAAGCTGAGCAGGAATTTCAAGCATTTTGTGGGAGAAAGGCAAACAGGAAAAGCACTGACTTGTTCGGGTCTGCAATCTTAGCACTATAGTCTGTCAGAATTCTGATATTCTCTGTTGTAGCTTTGTTCATAAACTTGCATGTGATATTAGAACTTTCTGCATCTCAAAGTACCCATTTCCTTGGAGCCCAGAGTTCTGCTTTTCCAAAATCCACTTGTTTGTTTTGTTATTAAGATACTGATGGAAGGTTTTGTTAATACAGTTTGTTTGCTGTGAAATTGATTTTTGAGAACTTTGGCCCATGCAGTTGGAATTGTTATCAGAGGTAGCAATAGGCATAGTGAATAAATCTGTGACTTGATCAGTATTCTTTCTCTTTTTTTCCCAGTTATTTGTTGCTATCAGTTGACTCACAGTCTCTGATTTTTCCTTCCTTTGACTCTCTCCCTCTCTCATTCAGCTCCAATGCTGCGGTAAAGATAATTTGGAACAACACGCAGGATTACCTTGTCCAGAGAAAATGCAGGTGCCAAAGGCAAGTGTCCTCTGTTCTGGTTGTTCTGATAACTTTTTCATGTCAATCACTGAATAAAACTGGAGTCAGTCTAGATGTAAAAGGAAGGAGTGTCCTTTTCCCCTTGTAAATCCCAGCATGGAATTTACCTGCTGTAGGGAACCTGCTTTGGCAGGGGGTTGGACTCGATGATCTCTGGAGGTCCCTTCCAACCCCTGCAGTTCTGTGATTCTGTGATTTCTCTATGAAGTTTAACAAAGCAGAAGCTGGGGCAACATGCCCAGCCCTAAATTCTAATGCCTGCTTGCAGCATCCCGTGTTATCTGTGACAGTATTACACAGCCTGGGAATCAAGGTGGGAAGGATGTAGCAGAAGAGGAGTTGTAGAATCATAGGATGGCTTGGGTGAAAGGGGCCCAAAGGATCAGCAAGTTCCAATCTCCCACCATGGGCAGGGCCACCAACCTCTGCATCTGGCACTACCCAGGTTGCCCAGGGCTCCATCCAACCTGGCCTTGAGTCCTAAATGAAAGGCCACTTGAAAGCTGAGTTCTGTCAGCAGTCTGTCTGAGTGATGCATAGAGTCTCCCGCATGGATGCTCTGTTGTTATTAAGGATACTTTGATTTCTGCTTTGGGAGGAATTTGCTTATGAGTACTGTATCAGTCTGAGGGGAAATGCTCCACATTTTATCATGGCCTATCGCAGAAAGGGTCTTAAATGGAGGAAAAATTGATTGTGAGAAGATTAATTGTGTATGTCAGCATGTACAGGCAGTAGGTAAATAGCAGCACATGCAAGCACCACTGCCTCACTAGGAAAGGCAATATGCTGTCCAAATGGTCCAACAAAACACAGAGAATTAGGGCAGTGAGTGCAATAATCCCTTTTGTGTTCGTCTGCTGTTTAGTGAGAAGAGTTGGCAGAGTTGTGCAGTGTGTTTTTCTAGGAGTGAAAATCTTTCTGTTTTGTTTTGAGTAGAACTGCCTGGTTGAAATCCACAACGTAATCGATGCCAATCTGCATCTAGTTGGGATTGTTGGAATTGCAATTGCTGGCACCACAGTGAGTAAATCCACACGATCACCCTTTTTATTGGTATTTGGGCCCAACACCCCATCCTTTACCCATAGCTCTGTTTTGCAGCAATTGGAGAGATTTCTCAGAAGTGAAACTATTCTTATTGCTCTCAGTGTTTCCTCTCTCTGGGAATTGGTCACAACTGCACAAACGGCCTCAGATGACTTTGTTTTACCAATTCATTTTGTGTCCCTAGACAAGGTTCAAAGAATCCAGTGGTAATCTCATTTTGTTGTAATGGTAGGAAAGTGGTGTACACACGGAGTGGACGCAAAACCAGAAAGCCACGGTGGCATTTCAGCTGTTCCAAACCAATTGCAGACATGGATGTGTTAGAGCCTTAGAGGATCTATTATTTAAATTTCACATATGGAATAGAAAGTATCAATCCTTTCTACAGAAAACACCTTCTCAGGAAAATGCTGTCTGTAGCATTAGTTCAGCGTGAAGGATCAAGTCACAGTTCATGACATCAGTGCAATTTCTGTTAATAACATTTGGGGACTGTAAAGCTGGCCTTTGCATTTAGAATGAGGAACAGTGAAACCAGTGTGGGCACAAAATCTTTGCTTTGAATATCAATGAAAACTCTCTTCTGTTAATTGTCCGACGTCTCGAGGTTTGTAGTGCAAGCAGTCACTTGCTACCCTGAAATAAAAGCATTCAATGCTGCTCAATGCAGTCTATTTTACAATTGTTTTGTGAGTGGATCCCTAAACTGCATTCCTTCTCTTCTAGATCTTTGGCATGATATTCAGCATGGTTCTCTGCTGTGCTATCCGTAACATGAGAGATATGATCTAAAACTGTCACTGCACAACTGTGTCCAGAAGCTTTACAAGAAGTGCTCTTCTACCCAGCTTAATAACTGTAATGTATTTTAATTAGTGTTTTAACATACTGAGAGGAAAATATCCCACGAGATGTGGAGGTGAATTGTATTAGTGGCAGTAAAACTGAAATGAACAAAAAAAAGGGTTTTAAAATGTCCTTTTTAATGGAAAGAGCCGAGATGGCATCAAAGACTAATTTGATTTTTAATGTTTGTATATGTGCAATTTAGAGCTTACATATCTATAGGCACTGTGTAAGTACATGCATTTCTCTCATTACAGATATGTATGCACATTATCTGTGCATGTAGTACCTTATGTAGGTAAGTATGTGCAAATGGGATGTGTTGTGTGTCCACATTTGCATGCACATTTTTCCAGTCTCACCACGCAGGAGTTGTGCACACACCCAGAGGTTGCTTGAAATACTTTCATTCCGAGCCCCCGTTTGCCAAGAGCTGGTAGAGGAACAAATGCCATTTTAAAAACGACCCAGCATCCATTTTGTAACTGTTCCGTCCAGCCCCCAAAGAGGAAGTCTGTTTTGTTTTAAACGGCTTTTGTTGTTACAAAAGGGTCTCCTCCAGCACACTCCTTCCTGGAGATCTTCCAAAGCCCCTGGATGAGGTCCTGGGCGCTCTGCCCTCACGGCTCTGCTGCAGCACAGCGCCTGGATCGGAGGGACGCAGAGATCCCTTCCAATTTCAACCATTCGGTGATTCTGTGACTTCACTGGTGTGCACAGACCTGAGTTTTGTTTTTGTTTAAGTCCAGTCGTGTTTTCATGCAAGTACAGAAAGCTCTGTGGGAGGAAACAGTCCAAGGAGATCTGGCCTAAACAAAGAGGGGAGGAGGTAGGAAGCTGGCAAGATGCAGTCATTTGGGAGCGATTGTAACACACAGTGTGGTTAAGCTTCTCATATAGCCTGAGACCAAAACCAAACCACCAAAACCTCTATGTGTTAAAGGGGCCACTAAAATCTTAGTTCAGAAGTCCCTTTATGCTGTAAGACTGAGATCTATAATGCTGGCGCAGGAGTAGAACCTATAGTAAGAAAAGCAGCAGCTTTGTCAGATACCCTGTAGAGCCTGGTGTGTAGAATCCAATGGAGGAGAAAAAATGGTCAGGGAAAAACACACAGCACTTTAATATCCTCTGGTTTTGCTTCTGTGACTATCACAGCTTCCTGAGGGCTCCTACCTCAGCCTCCCACCCCTTCCTGCAGGCGTAAGGCAGAAAAGAAAGATGGGGCTTCTTTTCTAAAAAAGAAAAAGAAAGAAAAAAACAGAAGAGCAGAGCCACAAAGTAAATTTTCTTACTGGGATTTGTAGATTGCATATAAAAAAAATACTGTTCTTGAAATACCTCAGGGCTTGCCTTTGCGTTATTTGTTTCTATATTGTTATTTTTATATTCTTCATACTTATTTATGAGAGTGTTCCTTCTAAAGCAGCCTGGAAGGGAGAGAGTTTGTTCCCAGAAAGAGCAAATAAATTACAGCAAGGGCTCAGAATCTCTGAAATTTTTGCTTAGTCCAGTTAATTTAGCATTTCAAAGAATAACTTTCTGCTAGCAATGCCCCTTTATTACCACCTCAGAGTTCTTATGCAGTTGTTCTTTTTTAAGAGAATAGGTCTAACAGAGCTCAGTTAAATGTCTCAGTGAATGGTCCGTGATGCCTAATGTGACTTGGCATTTACAAGTCAATTATCTCACTAAAACATGATGGCACTTCAGGTAGTGCCTGCAGTCCAGTGCACGTGTTTGTGTCACATACATCCCTCCTGATGTTTTTCTCTCATTTCCAACAGAAACTCCAATTTCTATCAATTTGCTGTTATTTCAGTATTGGAAATGGTGCTGCTGTTCCATGTTTCCCACTTAATTGACTCATCTTGCTGTCTTTTACATGGATGTCACTTTCCAAATTGTTCACCCACAGGCTGTCACTATGCAGTGACGTTGATGCAGCTGTGCGGTTGTAGGGGAACCCTTGGGTTGGGGCTTGAGCTGGTGATTGAGCACCTGGTGAAGGGGTGCTGTTGGCCTGAGGAGCTCATTGTTTGCACCTGTGCTCTCCCATGTGCCCAGAAGGGCTGCACCCAATGCAGAGCCACCCTGGGCTCATTTCAGGGACAGCCACTGAAGGGAGAGCATCCTTGGACCTAGACTGCTTCCTGAGGAGTGCTGCATGGCCAGAGAGCCCCTTCACCAGCTGGGTGAGTTCAGTGCTTCTTTCTGTATAATATGGCATTGGCCTACTGTGAATGCTTTGTGTGGTGTCACCAAGAGCCTATCAGCAGCTATTTTGCATAAAATAGCATTAAAAATTGCACTAAACATGAACTGTGATAACAGCTGCATGCTCAGCAACAGGTGAGCAGTTTCCAGGCTGAACTCCAGGTCCCCATTTGCAGAGAGGTATTGCATCACAGACCAGTGAGCTCTGCTCTTGTTTCAGTGCTTAATGGTGCAGGACCTCTGTTCCTTACTGGCAGTACAGAAACACTTCTAAGTAACTGCATTGTGTATCCACAGTAAGAAAGCTTTTCAGAGATAACTAAATCCAAATCAGTACCGGAGCTTCCTCAGGTACACTTCAAAGCTGCATGTCAGGATTTAATTAACCAACTTCTGCTCCAGATTGGTACTGACTGCCTCAGAAGTCAGCAGAAGTGCCCATCTAGTCAGGAAAGTGGCAACAGACCAAATCCTTCTGGGGATAACTCTGAAAGCACGGCGCACATCTTCTTCCTATTCAGTCAACCATCTTGTTCTCAAGTATAAACGTGTAAATAGTTGATTCTTGTTTCTTTGAAGATCATTATTTGTCATTCCCTTGTCTGGTTTTCCTGAGTAACAGCCGCCAGTGGGAGCTTCACATACTGCAAACTAACTGCAGCCTATCTTGCAGAGACTGAGCAGGAGCTGATGAAGCACAGCCCTTTAATATCCCTACATTGAGGATTCGTATTTCACTGTTATACCAAAAGTGATAGCTTTATAGCAAGACATATTTCATGTGTATTGAGAAGGAAGTCGGGTTATCTTAAGCCTCCAAATGCTCTTACAGCCTTCAGAGGCTGATCAACAGCATCAGGTGCTGTTTGTAGGGCACCCATATAACGGAGCTCACCAATCTCACTTCTCTGGTCACTGTTGGTTCTCCACAACACAAACTGCTTCCAAGGTGACGTATTTTTCTACAGCACAAATTCTGATTTGGGACAGAACTGGGATCTTTGTCTTTGCACTGTCTGTAGCAGCATTATCTCTGCCACAGCTCTCTGTGGGAAACGAAAAGGAAATGGAGCAATGCTTATTCTGTTGCTGAAGGCAGCTTTTGCTTTCCGTTGGTTTAATGTGTACTAAAGTGGAAATGTGTTGGTTTTATTGTCTTGAATTTGAAACAATGTTCTAATAAAAATAACCAGCAATACAAGACTCTCAGAGGCTGTCCTGGTGCCCTCCTGTGTGCTCCCATGCTCTGCTGTGACTTCCTTGCCTCTTCTCAACATCATAGGGCTGTCTGCATTTCTATTGCTTGGTTATGTGGAAAGGAGCCATAGGGTGCAGCACAGTCACCCAAACACCTGACCTGAAGGAATTCTTGCCTGGAGGAAGGGTTGTTGTGAACCCGAGGGTCTTCAACTTGAAAACATGCTGCTGAAAGGCCAAAAGGGGAAAAAGTGCTTTGAGAACACATGAAGGGGTGTTTAAAATGGTGCAGTAAGACTCACTCAAATGCCTTAATTTTGTTGGGATTTTTCTTTTTAGTGTGAAAGGAATCATCCAACCCAAACCATTCTGTGAGTCTAGCTGTTTTTCTCTCTGTACATTCCCATAGGCTTTAACCATACAACTAGGTTAACTTTTTTCTCATGCATGCTGTTAGACTGAAGGCACGTCCCTCAGATGCAGCCATGAGAGATCATAGCAATAACTTTGCTGTGTCACTTATTGCTGTAAGGAGGTACAGTTCCTTGTTTTTCCTCCTGCTAAGTGTTACTGAACAGCAGAGCCAGCTCAGAAAACTTGTTCAGGACTTGATGGTCCAAAGCTCTCTTGCATCTTCTTTCCCCGTGTTTCTAATAGTTGTTCTGGGGTTTGGGAGGTATCAGGCATTCTCACTCCCAAGGAGTGTTTTGTGACTTCCTGCCTGTCCTCTCTTAGTCCAGCAGTTGCCTTGTATGTACCTGGGCAGGTGTGGGCATCTGCTTTGTTGTGTTTGCATGCTGTGCTCCTACACTTGGGCCATACTGATTTTTCTGGCTGCTTATCTCGTTATCTCTGGCTGCTGTAACTGCCAACCCCTGAAATGAACTTTTCGTAGTGGTTCTCTGCTTATCTCTGCATTAACTCTGGGTTGGTACCATATGCTGCTCTTGGGAAGGCCGACACGTGGTTTTAAGAACTGATTGGCACTTACCAACACAACAGAGCCTTTCCTAGGAATAGTTACTATTTATTCCTAAGAATGAATACTGTATGTAGGAATGCAGATGATTTTAAAAGGGCAAGACATGTATAGCAGATCTATGCAACTTGCCTCCTCCTGCAAACAAAACTGAAACTTTCAGTTAATTCTAAGAAAAACAAAACTATAATAATATGTAATTTAATTGTGTTGTTTTGTAGGGCTATTTTTTTTAACCCACTTCTAGTGTTGCTGGAAGCAAAAATAAACAGGAAAAAATGAATAAGATCTGTGCTGAGTGCACAGTGCTCTGAGGGTTATCAGCAGGTTAATTCTCAATGGGCACAATGGCAATTGCTGAGTATGGATGAGGATTCAAGCTGAGCATAACAAGTTTGTTTCCACCTTTCTGGCTGTAGGGATGTTCTGGATTTGTTACTTGCCAAAATAAAGCGAGTGTTTACCTGAATAGCTGAGAGAGCATACGTGTGTCTGCAGATGTAGATGATATCAACAGAGAAATCTGTACCACTTAATGCTCCTTTGAGAAGAGAAAAATCTTTTTCATAATTACACATTTGCAATCGCTGAATAATTAAGAGAGCTCTACTGAGATAAACCCCACTACAAGCCAAAACAAATGGTTGGGAAGCAGCAATAAAATAAAGCTTTCAACAGTGATTTAACATATTATAATGTTGTATTTAATGGAGCTTGGAAGCTCTCACTGCTGCACGGAGCTGCAATTCTGAAGTCATTCTTACAATTCCTTGCTGATAAAAAATATTCTTACCATGTCATTTGTGTATACAGTAGATTTGTTCTCTTGGCTGCTTCTGCAAAGACGTGCTGAATGGTGACCTTGTTCCTCACTCATGGAAGCATGGAAGGTTTTACTTATTTTCTGCTGGCTGTATTCATGTCTTCACTGCAGCCCTGCTGACCTACCGACTGCTCTTGGATCAGCAGATGTCACACTTGCTTGAGCAGATGCGGGTCAAACTGTTTTCACCAGTCCTGTTGTAGGTGATAGGAATGAGGGGAAAAGCTGCAACTGCCAATGGATTCTGTACGTTTGCATTACAGTCAGTTGAAGCAGGTGGAAACTGGCTCTCGTGCTCAGTGGTTGGTGTAGTGTGACCATAGCTTGCCACTGAGTCACCAGCTCTAAAGAAGAGGAAACATTTATTGTGTTACATTTATTTTCATATTCCTGTGTGTGTTCAGCACGTGTGATGGGACTCAGCCCTCCCAGCACGCTGCAGGGGCTGACTGACCTGTGTGGGGAAAGAGCTGCTTTCTGAGCTTCACTGACCGCTGCTCTTCCAGAGAACAGAGTCGCAAGGCTTTTCAGTCAGCACAGGTAAGAGGAGCTTACTCTGCTCGAGCAAAGAGGTGAATCGCTATGCCTGGTGATGCTGATGAGCACAGCACTGGGCGATGCTAGGGATGAAGTAGAAGTGTATGCAGCTGCACATGCTCAGTCCTAGCTGCTGCGCAGTGCAGACAGGTTCCTCAAAACATCCAGTGTTACATACGTGTAGAAACGCAGTTGGTGCTATAAGGGCTGCAGGGCTGTCAGTCTAGTTGAAATGTTTAACACCGAGAGCACGCAGAGTCTGGTTCTAAGATATAATATATCAATAATTTTGTTCAAGCAGTACCTGGAGATCATGAGCAAAGGCCCATGCATACACAGTTCTTTCTTCTTCCCTAAGGTAAATTATGGTTGAGCATTAAATAAGAACCTTCAGTCCCGTGGTTCTGCTTCTGCGTGTCAGAATATCCAGGTCATTACAGTAACTCTTCAGAATAAAACGTTGTGCACACCAGTTTGCAAACCTGTTATGAAATATTGTTTTATTTATCTTGGTTCTGAGCAGAGAGGTACATTTCTGCTGTGTTCTGTTGGAAGCTCACATGTTACAGAGCTTCTGTGGCTTAGTGCAGTAGTTGGTCCTAACCTTCTCGTGAACACAGTCACTGTAGTCAGTGTTACATTTACCACACTTGCAGCTTATGGCCACGGGGTAAGAATAGTAAGGGATGGTGTGATGAGGACAGCCCGGAATCAGTGCTGTTTGATACAACATCTCTTTATATGTGCACACGTTTTGGGACAGAGCACTTTTGAGTAGCAGCTTCTTGCCATTGCTGTCCTACAAAGAAAAGAGAAATGTGTTGTTTCACTGAAGCGTACACGAATGTCAAATGTCTTCCCTTGACATGCTCTCAAATGTGCAGAAAGCAAAGCCTCTTTGTGCTTATGCTAGCTCTGAAATTTTGTGTACTTCAGATCTGTTTCTTTGAATCCCCGTATGAAGGGAGCTCTCTACCTGCAGTAATGCTCACTGTGTTTTTCTGGTTTTAAATAACCCCCTGCCCGTCTCTAAGTGTTCTCAGCATTTTGCATTACATATTCACAGCCTGCTGACCAGGGTGGAAGTTAAAATGCAGTGTTGAATAGCAAAGCTCATAGTGCTTGGTGTGTGCAGTGCTCTCCACAGCTGGCTGTCACAGCAGGGCTTCATTGCCTTTAGCACCTGACAGATTGGCTCAATTACTCAAGTAATTTGCATTAGCTGAGGGTGACAAATTGTAATTCATTTGTCACCTGAGCTGCCCTGACCCCACAAACTGCAGGAGCTCTGCAGCAACAGCAGCAAAAAGTTTGTTGTTATGCTACTGGTACAACCTCCATAGTAAAAGTAATATTGATGGGGGAAGAAAGGGGAAAACAAACAACTATCAGCAATTGAATTGGGGAAAATGTAGGAAACTGTTACAGAAAGCTGGAAGCCAGAAGATAAACATCTGTCAGGACAAAGGCCAGCTGTAATGCCAGGGGACATTGCCAGGTGGAGACAAGCTGCTGATGTGAGTGCAGTCATCAGGAGCTGCTTGTGGCTGCCAAAGCAACATACACATGTACAGCACCAGCTGTGAGGTACGCTGTGAACGGAGTAAAGATTTAAGACCGTCATCCCCAAGCTAATAATCCTTTGCTGGGTAATGCTGGTTTTCACAAGACCTGAAATGCTGAGGGAACCTCAACACGTTGAGGAGCAGACGAGAATGGTGGCAGAATTTAAAGGGTGGGTGCTGACCCAGGTAAGACTGGAGGAGATTGAGCAGGGATGGATGTCAGGCTATCGGGTTAGAGAGCAGAAAGTCGATACAGGATTTGAGCAATGAAAATTAGAGGATGAGAACATAATTAATGCCAGTTGAGATGGTGTTACATAAAATAGGTCATGTCACACAAACCTGATTTTGTTTTTGGAGGCGATTACAAATGTGGTTGTTAAGGTAACTATGTAGATTGAGGTCCTGAGTTCCATCTGTGCAGAGCCCTGCTGTCATAGAAGCGAGAGCTGTTGGGCAGTGTGCTGAACGCTGGCAGTTCTCCACAATTTCTGTAGTGTTTATTCACTGTAACTTTTTTTTACCCAGCACTGCATCATAATCTCCATAGAGCTCAGGAGCCTTGGCTTTTCTCACCCCTGCTTTCCCGGTAAGTTAAATAGAAACCATGATAATAATGATTTTTCTATGACGGACATAATTAGCCCGACTAAACTTTACATAGCTCTCCAGCAAGAATAGGAACTTCTTTTCTTGATGGCTGTTGTGGAAACCACCTAAAAGAGAGGAACATCCTGTACCCGTGTCATGCAGAATCCGGCGCAGATGGTGGTGTTGATGGCCAGGCAATAGGCGCACTCCCGTTTCTCCACGTGGATTGTGTACTCTGAAGGAGCACAAAGTGATGCTGTTTGACCAAAGGTCAGGCCAAAGAGGAGAGACATCATGAAGAAGGGACTCATGCTAGACAGGAGGGGGAAAAAACAGAAACCTTAATTAAATTAGATGTGCCTTTGTGTCCTTTCCTTAGAATTTGATGAGAACAGTTCTGACGGTCACATCGAAGAAATAATCTCAACTTTTTCAGACACAGCTTCACAAATTCTTTCTAATCCTGGAAATGTAATCGAAATAATTCTAACCACTGGACAGACAGAGGACAAATAACTCGAACACAACATGTGCCATATTCACCTTTTTCCCACTGAACCATGTGACATAGAACTTTTCATAACTGGTGATAAAACACTGTTGCAGAGAAATAGCAGTAGGTTTTCCTATCCTTTCCTGATAAAAGATTTGAAACCGTGACGCATCAGAGGCTGTGAACTCTAGAATTAACCAAAGCTGTTAAGATAATCTCCTTAATCTAAAATATTTTCTAAAGAAGGCATCTTATCAAATGTTCAAGGTAGAATAAGAAATAGTTGTGCATATCAGACATACCCCTGTAGTTTTTACGTTCAAGCTGGCTTAAAAGCACGATGAAATTGGAGCACGGGCAAGAATTAAATAATAGATGCAAGCAAATTACAACAGAGAACACCAGCAAAGAGTTCAAATCGATGAATCCACACTTAATCCCTCTGTTCCCGTTTCCCAGGCCTGCTCAGGAATCCCAGAAACAAAGCTTTGCTTGGCTCCAGGACAGTTTCAGGATCTTCTCTCTCTCTCTTTGGAACTACAAATTCTACAATGACAGAGTCTACAGATATCTGGAATCACCCTCTAGTCTCTTCCAGCCGTCGTTTTCCTATAACAAAAGCCATTTGTTACACGATCCAGTTTACCCTGTGGCTGCAGTCGTATAAGTCTGGAAAGACCAACCTCTTGTCAGCTGAATTCTTCCCTATTTCAGGAGTCTGATTCTGCCTTGAGCTGGGAGAGGCAGTGATCTAGCACCAACTCTTGTGTGCTTTATACACTCCAGGCTAATTCCAGGCTTATCTTCCTGTTTATATAATTGCATCTGAATTGCTGCTTTCTTATCGCAGAGCCATCTATTGAAAATTCATACTAAACCACAAAGCAAATGTGATAGGAACAAACGTCTCCATAATATCCTAACCTGGAAATTGGAGCTGGAAATCTAATTATGTTAACAGTCAGTCTTTCTCCTGGGCTTTTAAACTAACCACTGCTTTTAAAAGGTTGCTATTGATTAATTTGCTGCATAGGACAGCAACGTGTTGGCAGTCAGGCTAGCGTGGAAATGGAGCCATGCAGAATCACACCTGACTAATTCTGCTCTCACTTTTTTTGGAAAATCTGGTTCATTCAGTATGCTCACTACCTGGCAGGCACAAATGAGGGATGCAATGCTGTATGCATAAAATAAATCTCAAATCCAAGCAATTGATTGCTTTATAGCGCGGGTAGGAAAAGTTTCACTTATTTACTATTAAAAAAAAAAAAAAAAAAAGGCAACAAAAAACCAACAATAAAAAGCCATGCAGGCAAATTATTGAGCAAGCACTGAAGTGAAAACAATTCACTGAAATACTGAGAATCAATTGGTTTCGTTTTGAGATGCCACTTTTTGTCGCACGGTGCGAAGCAAAATGTTGTACCAATGTCATTGAAACTAAAATATCCACTGATGGGGTGGGGAGGGAACGTTCCTGGTTGGGGCTTTGAGAAATACCAAAGAGGAGCAAAGTGAGGAGGGCGTTGAGTTAGTATGCAAGTCTTGCACTGATTTAGCACAGAGCCACTGTAACCTGCTGGTTCGTCTGTGTCTGGCCAACCTTCTCACTGTGCCCTCACTGCAGCTCTGTTGCCCACCAGCCCCATGGGTCACCTCCCTGCCAGCTGGACTTGGCTTTCATGCGTGCCTTAGGCAGGTCAACCACTTTGTTGTCTTACGTGGCCATAAGGAACATGAGAAAGTTGAACAGCGTGTTGTGCTGTTGGAGGACTGAGCCAGTCAGTCCTAACAAGCATCTGCCCAATTCCTGAATGGCGTTGTCTCCTTTACCAGTGGTTTCAGACTGCTGCACATGACTTTGTGTCCTAAGGTAATTGTCTGTGGGATTTTGTGTGTAATGTAATGAAGTTCTTGTTCATTTAGGATTAGCCAAATATTTGCTGTTTTGATGGAGTCTTTAATTTTGGGCTAATTTCTACCATAGATCCTCAGGAATTAAGAAGCTTGTAGACATGAACGTGGTATTGTTTGTAGACTCAGTGCCATCTGTCCAGCTAGACCTGGCAACAGAAGATTTTGCTGCTCCTCCTATATGTTATTTGCTTTGTATCTTTCTGAGCTGTCTTAAATGTAGTACAGATTGTATATGCAGTACAAACATACGGACACGTGCAGACAGCTATATGTGTGTCATGCATAGGTGTGTGATGTATTTGTGTGGGTTTGGTTGTATAAAACTTCAATCAAAGGAAAAGATTTCACCTTGATTTTGGAAGATGGAGCTGTTTTGTGTACAGAAAGAACCACACATCCAGGTTTAAGGTGCCTTCAACGTATGCTAACTATTTTGCATGTTGAAAGAGAATGGTAGATGGAAAAGAGCATGAAGGCATATATCCCTTACTGCTCTGAATTGCCAGCTCTTCCAGCTCAAGAAAAATGAGTGTAATTGAATGGGAGGGGAATTCAGATTGGGGAAAAAGGGGTTCTGAATTTGCTGTAAGAATATTTCGAGAAATGTTCTCCTCTGGAAACCTGGATAGCCAAGAAAAGAAAAAAAGAAGAAATGTTTGCAAGTGTATCTTGGTGAAGATAAGAAAGATGATAGAGTAGTAAAAATGATAACAGTGAAGAAAAGGGGAAAACAAACAACTATCAGCAATTGAATTGGGGAAAATGTAGGAAACTGTTACAGAAAGCTGGAAGCCAGAAGATAAACATCTGTCAGGACAAAGGCCAGCTGTAATGCCAGGGGACATTGCCAGGTGGAGACAAGCTGCTGATGTGAGTGCAGTCATCAGGAGCTGCTTGTGGCTGCCAAAGCAACATACACATGTACAGCACCAGCTGTGAGGTACGCTGTGAACGGAGTAAAGATTTAAGACCGTCATCCCCAAGCTAATAATCCTTTGCTGGGTAATGCTGGTTTTCACAAGACCTGAAATGCTGAGGGAACCTCAACACGTTGAGGAGCAGACGAGAATGGTGGCAGTATTTAAAGGGTGGGTGCTGACCCAGGTAAGACTGGAGGAGATTGAGCAGGGATGGATGTCAGGCTATCGGGTTAGAGAGCAGAAAGTCGATACAGGATTTGAGCAATGAAAATTAGAGGATGAGAACATAATTAATGCCAGTTGAGATGGTGTTACATAAAATAGGTCATGTCACACAAACCTGATTTTGTTTTTGGAGGCGATTACAAATGTGGTTGTTAAGGTAACTATGTAGATTGAGGTCCTGAGTTCCATCTGTGCAGAGCCCTGCTGTCATAGAAGTGAGAGCTGTTGGGCAGTGTGCTGAACGCTGGCAGTTCTCCACAATTTCTGTAGTGTTTATTCACTGTACCTTTTTTTTACCCAGCACTGCATCATAATCTCCATAGAGCTCAGGAGCCTTGGCTTTTCTCACCCATGCCTTACAGAGATATCTGGCCAAGTATTAAGAATGGAAATTCCTTTTGGAAGTGCAGTAGATTGGTCTGAGTCGACCTTCAGACCAATGAGACTTCTGCTCCTTGTACTCACGTTAGCATCATATAATACGGGCACAGAGAGCCTCTTTCCTTGTGCCTGTTGTGAGGCATCCCTTGCCCTGCCCACACGTCAGAAGGCACTGGGTATCACTGCAGTTGTGTTCCTGTTTCTTCAGTAATTTACACAAACTGTTAAGCTGGTAGAAGAACTTTTCCCAGGTTGTCCTGATGTGACCAGACTTCTTTCTTTCACCGCTGACCTCTCTAAACGTTTGCTGGGGGTGAGAACGCAGAACTTTCTGGGAACAGCAGGACAACGTGGCAGCACAACGCAGTACTGTGTGACAACCTGTGAGTGCACAAAGCTGCTTTCCTATAGGTTGCTAAAATTCATAGTTCAGTATCTGATGCTTATGGATCCATTTCTTTGGTTGCCCCCTTGCTGACCTGCAGACAATTCAGAGATGCAAAGTTCAACAGCCATCAGCTTTGTAGCTGTTTTCTGGAACAGCCACTTATGCTTTAAATTATTTATCTTTAACCTTTCTCTTAACTAAACCATTCTATTCAGTCACATCCCTTATTTTACACTTTCATTAAGTGAAAGCCAGTATGCTGATTTCTGTAAGAGGTGTTGGAAGTGGTCTCTGTAAATGGAATTAAGGAGCATAAAGTTCTTGGGTCTGTGTCCTCGGGATGTCTGCAATGAGCCAGAGAAGCTCAGCGCAGGGTGTGTAAAAACGTAACAGGATTCTCTGTCACTGACCAATGCCTAAAGTCAAAGTAAGAACAGTGTAGATCAGTTATCATAAATCATTTCTGGTCCTGTCAGTAGTACAACACATGGGTGGTTACAGTACAGAGCAGAATGAGCCAGTCTTAATTCCACGGCAGGCAGGCATACAGTACTGTGGACATTAAAACTGAAACACGTCCATCCTTCCAGGCAGCAAACTCAGAAGCTATGCTAACTGCAAATAAACAGAAGCAGACAAAACCTATTAGATTTCTAACAGATTAGTATTCTGGTAGAGGAACTCTTTCCAACCCCATCCTATTGCAGGCCCCCTTAATATGCTGCCGTTGTTTTTTTTTCCATCAGGTTTTGCATTTAAACATGTGGCTGTTGAATTTTCAGAGCTCATCTGTCTATTGCCAGTCTCTCTGTGCTCGCTGGAAATGTAGCTCTTATCTTTTAAATTAGTAGATTCACAGATGACCGTTCTTTTCTTTCTCTCCTAGGATTAGCTGCAGCATTTCTTGTCAAGCACAGATTAAAAGGGCACCTCTTTTCTTTGCATGTGGTACAACAACAATTTCATCTTACAGTCTTAAAATGCTTCATAGTCCTGTTAGTTGTTGTGGTTTGTGTGATAGACTGGTTATGTTTCACTGGGGAGCACCAGATATGTCAGTTCCTGTTATTGAGATAAACAATGTCTGCATGCAGGACAAAACTAAAAAACAACCCAGACAGCTGTCAGTTTCTCGTGGTTGTGGTGCAGTTCTGATCTGACTGGCAATCCAAGAGGCAGCAGTGGGGAATCCGAATCTTTGTATGGAGATTTGATGCTATGCAGGAACGCTTCTTCTTTTTTCGGATAAAAATGTTTTATCTGCTCAGTGTGAGCACAGGTTTATGTTTCTCTCTCCTCTTAATGAAATCAAATACTTTGATAGACAGGAACAGAAAAGGCTCTAGGAAGTCAGGGATGACCATTAATACTGTGATTTGCACTGTTGTTGTTGTTAGAGTCCTTTAATATCTTTATAAATTTTCTTTGCTGCTTTTGGTGTAGAAGTTCAGTTGTCAAATGGAGCGAGTCTTGAAACTGCAAGTTCTGTAAGATTTGCTTGGATTTTCTGCCTCCTCTTCTGTGCTCTCTGCACTTTCAGCTGCACAGAAAGAATGAAATACAAATTTTGCTGCCAGATCCAGGAATTTCTGTTAATAATTTTAAGATGTCTTGTTATTCTTAGGCTCTGAAGCACGTTGGTTTTTTTTTGTTGTTGTTTTTAATAGTTGTGAAACCAACATTAATTAGGGATTCATGGAGAAATAGATGTAATTCTATGCTTACCTAGCAGAAGCGATTAGTTCTTAGTAAAGCTGCCCTGTGATTTGTATCTGTGCCCTGATGAATGAAGGATCAACATACGGAAGGATCCCACACTTCGAGGTCAACAATTTAATGACATCTTAACACCGGTTACAGTCTTAAACTGTGTGTGTGTATTTTGTTCCTAATGACACAGAGATCTTAAACCTTCATAATTCTATTGAAAATAGAATTATGGAAGTTTCAAAACTATTCTAACATAGGAGGAAGTAGCTACTGGCAACAAAACACTCAACAAGAAGAAAATGTAAGACAACTTTGGGTAAAAATGCTGCACATTAGCAGCTTCAGCATTTCATTTACTAAATAATATAGCTTTGTGAATTGTGTATTAAGAAAGAGAGAGTAAATTTAGAAGAACAAGACTGAATTTCTTTAAAGCCAGCATTTCTAGTAACAGAATTTTTTTGCAACAGTTTTCTTTGAACTATTCTCATTTCAATATTAAAATGTCTCCAGACTTTCTATAACATGAATAAAACACTGAAAATGCTCTGCAGACTGTAGTTATATAAGGACTGTCTGAATCAAGGAAATTAATGTATTCAACATATTGAATGTGGCAGAAAAATGTAACAAAGCACTAATGCTCAGAGAACACTGAGTTGTCCTAATCAAATAGTGTTAGGGTAATGTTGTTGTTTTTTTTTTTTTTTTTTTAAGAGAAGAGTTTTTCAGAATCTTTAATTTTTCTCTTCCTGTCCATTTTGGAAACTGCGGTCCATCCAGTCTCTCTCACTTTTCTCATAGTTGCAAGCTTCAGTGCAGAGCTCGGAGCTTTCAGGTTTGATGCAGTTGGTTTCTGAGAAGAAGAACAAAGCCATCCAATAGTTTCTAAAACAAAGATGATCTGCTCTTCATTTTGATCTATCTAACAGGGAACGTACCTGTTTTGGTGTCATTGCGTATAATTGTGAAGCTTGTGGATAATCTTTGTATAATTTTTTAAATACTTCTTCATCTGAAACAAGGCTCTTAAATTAAAAACAGAAAGGTTACTTCCTTATACCACATTCAAAAATCTCTTTTCTTTCCCCTTAGGAATGAGTATGAAAAAGAAAGTTAAGATATCACTATGAAACCTCAACAATTCCATAAAAACAATGTAAAGATTCATTATAACATTGGTATTTTTTGTCATAAAGTTACTAACTATTCATAAAATTCCAGAAAGAGACAATTAAATAAAAATATCCTCATAAATTATCTTATGTAGAGAAGCCCAAATGCCTTATTTTACATCCTCAGATACAGCAGTATGCATGAAGAACTGTTAACCATGCTGTTTGTTCTGAGTTTTACCAGAAGGTCGCTGTGTTCAGAGCTATCTGACTGAGCATCCAGCTGTAGAAGCACTTTTTGCTTTTTCCTCTGTTCTGAAATCAGACCTGAGCTTTCACTTTGCATTTTATGTACTGGGGGAGTCTTTACAGTATATGTCTGGGAAAAAGATAGTATTTAAAATTACATTTTCAGTGGTAATGATGGAATCCAACACTAAACTCATAACCCAGTTTACAGATACATATCAAGGAATGATTGCCTTTCCACTCAAAACTTGAAACAAAGTCATGCACAGGGAAAAAAACAGAGAGAAAAAAAAAGCAGCAGCTGCAGAAGAGCTGAGCTTCATGGCACACTGTATCTAATCTTTTTAAGCTTATCTGCAGAAATTCAGTTGTCAGTTTGAACTGTAGTCACTATAGACAGACTATAACCAACATTCATGAAAATGCAAACAAACAAGTCTGAAGGAAAAAGCTTTCAGAAAGATATTGATAGTGAGTGGCAGCAAGAGCCAGACTGATTTTACTTCAGTGGCTCTTTCACTGGATGTTAAGCAGAAGGAAAAAATAGAGTCAGAAATAAGAATGATTCATCGGTGTGAGTTACAAACCTTCAAGGATCGTCTGACCAAAGGACTCTGTAGAAATGCTCGAGGAGATGTTTTTGTACTTTCCATCACGCTGGTTTTTATGGGAATATCACTCTGAGAGAAGAGTTTTTTTACATTAATAGATGCAGAGTCCGGATCTGAATGAGGTTTAGGAGTCTCAGAAAAATGAGTTTGTATTTTCTAGAATTAAGAAACGGTTGAAAAACATTTCAGTGCCTTTTGTCCAGAGTGTGTTATTTATCTTATTTAACTTTATATTATCTAACTTCAATTAGATTGCTTATATGCATATTACCAAACTTTAAAATTGTTTAATGATGAAGCTACAACTACCTTGTCCTTCTTTTCAGTTTCAGGAGCTCTATTTTTGGAGAGGTCTTTTGCAAGATTCTTCTAAAAAGAGAGGCAGTAAATATTTTATTTGTATTTAGCTATTAGATTTGTTTAGCCATTAAAAATCTTGTTGGTGTTTTACAGAAGTTCACACAAATATGTGATCCAGGTTTAGTTCAACTGCATTTGAAAAATATGACTTTTCTGTTCCTAGTATTATTTCTTATACAACTTTTCCCATTTCTGATGGACAGTTCTTGGGGTTTTTACTCCATCCATTCTCCCCTCACTCGTACTCAGGGATCATGAAAAACTTTCACCACCAGAAGGCATGGTGACTTCAGAGAGCATTAAGCTCTGATTTCAAGACTGCAAGACCTAGAATCAAAAACTCATTTCAGCTGTCATTGCTGCAGCAGATATGACTGGGCCAAGCACATCACCCATGGTGCTATAAAGAAAAAAAAAAAACCAAACCAAAAATGCAATACCTTGTTTTCAATTTCTGCCTTAAGCTGTTCCTTAAGGGATGACAGCTCACTTTTCAAACATGATAGTTCAGTTTCCTGAAACCAATTTAGATAATGGAAAGGGTTAGGTGTGCTTAACGTGGAAAAAAGAAAACAGTCTGAAAGAGACATTAATTCATAGAGATATTCAGTATAAACAAAGAAAATTCAATTTGCTCAAATAGAGTAGTTTATCCATAAAGTTGGTATGGTGAAAGGTGTCTATCTCACTTTGGGAGTTGATTCTAGTGCTAGAATAACAGATGAACACAGATAGAGTCAACTTTTCCTCATCTAAGAATAAATTAAAAAGATCTAAAAAAAATGTGTTACTTGAGTCACAGTTTCTATAAAAGTAAAGAAATATTGTATGAAAGGAAATGTCAGAAAAAAGACTACAGTTTAAGTAGCTGTTATAGAACCACACTTTTATAGAAGTCTTGAGGGAATGCTTGCTCTCAGAATATTTCTCAAAGCTAAGTGTTCCAGAAAGGAAAAGGAGGAAAAAAAAGTTATGCAACTGTAGACTTAAAATGTTTTTTAAGCTTGTTTTAAAAAGTGATCAAGTATTGTGAAACAGTTACTGTTCAGAACCATCCAAGGAAAGAATTTTGAATATTTGTGAGAAGGGGAAAAAAACCGAAAAACTATTTAATACTGAAATTTCATAAGCAGACAGTGAGGTTAAAACATGAAGCACTTTTGAGTAAAGTAGACAGAAAAGCACACAGGTACTGTAATTAAGATGCATTATGTTGGGCCAAAACAACCCCTCTTTTCTCAGTGTGGCCCAGGCAAGCCAGAAGGTTGGATGTTTTAGAAAAGCAGCCCTTCCATTTCATTCTCCAGCACTGATGAGCACTCCTTACCAAAGCTCTTTTCAATGATGCCTGCTCTTGCTCTTTTATCTTATATAGTTTTAACTCTGTATCTTTTTCTTCAACCATTTTATCATATTCATGCTGTATTAAACCAAGAAAACAACACAAAAAAAAGGACATTAGTCATTGGACTAAGTGTTCTAGATCAATCTAATCTTAAAATATTATTTAATTTTTTAAATAAATCTGTTCTGGAGCTTCAGAAAGCACTGTGAACAAACAGTGACGCCTCTGCAGAAATACTACAACAGAAACTTCACAAGCAGTGCTGTGTGTTATTCTGTGGGGCAACACAGAGTGCTTTATCTCTGCACAGTGCTGTGTGCTCCAGTACATAAAGCTGGACGCATTATTTTTGTTACTGTGATCTGCTGAATGTACTGCAAAACAGAGTAATAAAAATGTCCATTGAAATATGCTATGTTATAATGCTGAAGATCTCTAAAGAGTCTCCTGATTGAAAGAAAAAATTGAAAAACACTGAAAATATTGACAAATATTACATTAGGACTACAAAGCACAAACTGTGCTTACAGGACTTTTTAAAGAAACCATTACCACCATCACATCTCATTATTACTGGGAGTTCAAATGTGCCAATAGCTCACATTGTGTTAAGATTCTCTGCAGCTTACACCAATGCAGTTTCTGTGGCAGTAGACACGTTTTCAAAATCTGAAGGTGAATTTGTTTTTATAAGATGAAAAATCAAGAGAGTTAAACCTCATGCTTCCACGCTTGGGTCTCTGACAAAGTTTTACTTTCTAACTTGTAAATTCTGGATTTGAAATTATGATTTTATTTATCATAATGTCCCATAGTAGGAAGCTTACCTTGTGCTTTTCCATAAGTGCCATCATTTCAGTTATCTTGTGTTGACATCGGATATCAGCTTCTCTCTGTGCTATTGTTGCTTCATCAGCAAGTAACCTCATTTTTTCTACCTGTTAGTAACAAGGATCTTTTAATTAATGCAATCTGTATACAGTCCCCTTTAGTGAAATCTTCATCTGCTTGGAAGATCCTTTTCTAATCCTGCATCTTCTACACATTTGTTGAAATGAAAAAATATAGATTAAAAATACATCCATTCTTCCATGGCAGACAAGTGTGATTTTGAGCCACGGTGCAATTTCAAACACTCGTGTAACATTTCTTTTATATTCCAATTAATATTTTGATTCCAAAAAAAACGTGGCCAGGAAAACACTCAAATGAGAAACATTATTAACCTATTTGCTTATTCTGTACTTATTCCAAGAATAGGGCATCTGTGAACAACAGCTTGACAAAAATATTTTTTTTAACTGGGTTCTTATTTTTAAAGACATGTAAAGAGTCCAGATTAAAGGATTTAGTGTTGTAAAGCTTTGTTCACTGGCATACACAAGAAATTCAATTTATGTTTACAAGACTATTATGTAAGTGCAAGGAATCTCATGGATATAGCTTCATAAAATATATCAAGCACTGATCTTACTTCAAACGCTAATTAAAAGATGCAGAAAAAATTAACAACTCTCACCTCTTCAAGTAAGTTATTTTCAGTTACTCCTTTTGCTTCAATTTCCTTTTCATAAATGTCAACTCTTGCTTTATGTTGCTTGTTCATATTTTCCATCTCTAACTGTAGCTTGTTCACCTTTAGAGAGTAGAGAAGTATTGTTATTTGTTCAAGAATTAATATGCCAATGGTTTGGTCTTTTTCCATTTTATTTAAGTAGAGCCACTCTGTACTTTTCAGGTATGTGGCTGTATTACTTCCTATTTAATGTTCAGTTTTCATCTTAAGGAGTTGAACTTTGGCCTGAAGAGAGTTAGAAAATACTTCTAGAAACACAACAGGGAAGACTGCAGTTCTTCCATCCCAGTCATCAGAGCAGTCCTAAAACTAGATCCAGCAAAGCACAAAGAATCATTACAGTATAGAGGAACCCCAGCAGCAATCTGACACTGTCCTGCCTTTTAACAGGAGACCCTTTAATATTGCTGGTGTGGAAGGCTGAGTAAGAAAATGAAGCATAATCAGCTGTACAGGCATAGAATCCTAGAGCAGCTGGGGTCGGAGGGGACCTTGAAGCTCGTCCCGTTCCAACCCCAGCTGTGGGCTGGTTGTCACCCCTAGGTCAGGTTGCCCAGTCGGTGGCATTACTGAGTAACGTTCAGTATTCTATCAATAAAATGAAAAGGAAAGGAGCTTATTAGGATCATCATTCCTTTGATAAGTGATGTTTCCTGCAAATACCTGACAGCCCTATATCCGATGACTTCCAAAAATCGTGGGCTTATTTAGTCCTGTGGAATCCATATCATCAGTCCATAAAACATAGAAGAATGTGCTTAACGTGTTTTATCAACACTAGAGACTTCAGGACTTCAGTTTTTGTGTTTTAACAGCACCATATATATGACACGAATTAAACCTACCTTCCCTTCATAACTACTTGTTTTCTTGCTTTCTGCAGTCATTTTCTTTTTCAGTGCCTTATTCTGTTAAAGTGAAATAATAACAATAAAAGTGAATAGGGCTATGAAATGTTTTAGCCTCATACAGTAAGTCTGAATCCCCAAATTCCAGCTTTCAGCAAGCAAATAACTCTCTTCTTGTTCTCCACTTCAGATTCTGGAACAAATCTCCAAATGAAAGTGTTAAACTACTTTAACAATCAGATTTTAAGGAATGAGGGTGTAGAATAAGGAACAAAAACTAAGACACACAGTGTTTCCAGCTTTTGTTCAATGTAGCTTATATATAAATAAATGTACTCCTGTGTTATGCTATTAAGAAACAACAGATGTTGTGATCTGTTGATTCTCAGCAAGTTGTTTGAGAATTTTACTCTGGGAAAATGCTGCTGACAGAAAAATGTGCAGATGTCATAAAAAGAAATACAAACTTGTATATTTTTACAGTACAGTTGCTGACGATTTGTCCAAATGTATGATTCTTTTCTAATGAGATGTATATACAAGTATGGTGTCATAGATCAATGATGCCACATGCTAAATGAAAATAAGAAAAGTTTATTAAATTTCTTATTACTGTAATTGCATTTTACAAAAGTCAGAATGATTTTACAAATCAAGTGATTCCAAAGGTGATCCTTCAGTTCTCTCAGAGGTAAGATAAGAAAGGAAATGTTATGAATTACATAAGTGTGCCTGAAGAAATCACACCAGAGGAGGACAGCTGAAGAGCAACCTCAGAATGCCATGTTTTCTGTATGCAATACTTCTGAAAATGTACTTACCTCCTGCTGTAACTCTTCAATGCACTTTGTTTTGTTTTCCACCTGTTTCTTCATGGTGTTCAACTGAAGGGATATTTCAAATATTAATTCATTGTTAAAAATGACTCCATGTCTTAGACACTGCTGTGAAAGTTCTAAAAGATGCATTTGAAAAGATGTGATTCCAGTGAGACTGAAACAAATGCCAACATGTTATAATGGTTGGAGCTTTTACCATGAAGTGCCACAGGAATTTTTCTGGCCCAATATCACGTAGTTTAACATCAGCCAATCAGGTCCTCATGAGAAAAATTAATTTACTAACCTTATTTTCTAGCATCTTCAACTGTCTTTCCTTTTTCAGAATTTCATTTTCAATACTCTTAGTCTGGAATTATAATTGTAAATCTAGTCAGACCATTGTGACAACTTTTATACTTTCTTAAAGAAGAAAAATATGTAATTGCAGAATCGTTAATAAATAGTGTTACAATTTCAAAGCAGTTTCCTCAAAAAGAATTCAGCTGATTCTGTTTTGTATTTATTTGTAAACAAACAAACAAAAAACTAAGAAACCATCCCGTGTCCTGAATACATTCTTTGAATTTTATGATAAAATTTTGAAATCCATTGTGATGTTAAAAAAAAAGCAGGTGTGCTTTGACAATGGAGTAGGAAAGCAAAAACACTTAAACACATGAAGTATTACTTACTGAGTGTATGAAAATAATAAATAAAGTGAGGCTCTACATTTGCCTAAAATATGGCAAATCTGGACATTCCAGTGAAGGTGCTTGTCTTTTAAAGTGTCAGGGTACATACATGTGTTGACTCAATTGGTAGCAGCACTGAAAGAATAAAACCTCTTTAAGAGAGAACATCTCTAGGCAGGGCTTTGCAGAAAAGGAAAAAACAACCATCTAGATTACATCCTACAGGTGATGCTATATTTCAGATGAGAAACCATATTACATTTTCTTCACTTTCATCCAGTTTGCTTTTAACTTCTTCACCTTTCTTTGCCATCTTCTCTCTCAAAGACTCCAGTTCATTTCTAAATGCCAAATTAACAAATATTAGTAAATGTATATTTAAGGATATTTTTTCAATACAGCTTATTTACTATTTATCCATGATTTATTTCCATATAAGAGACATCTATGTATAATAGAAAGCAGCATATGAACACAACATTCAGGTGAACCATGGAGGAAACAAACTACTTCCTTTAATTATACTGTACACTGAGATTTACTTGCCTCAGCTGACCATTTGCTTCTTCCAGGTGTTCTACTAACTGCTTTATGTTTTCTTCTTTTTCCCTTTGATCCTAAATAAATACCCATGTGAACAAAATAAGTAAAATGTGAAGTGACATCTTAATCAGTACAGTGAGCTGCCAATTCACAAGGGTAACTGCACTTATGTTGTGTTTTAAAGAAAAAACCAATTCAGATACTCTACAGAAGTATATCATTGTAGTTTGCTAAATGATTTTTTTTAATATAACCCTGTGCTTTGAAAACAGATGGAAGATTACAGCTCACCTCATGACTTTCCTGCAGTTTCTTGAGTTCTGTAGCCATATTACTTTTCTCTTGTGCCATTTGTTCTTTCTCTAATAACAGCGTATTGATAGTCACTGTTAGTTGCTCATTCTTTTGTCTAATTTAGGATAAACGGTCAAGAGAAATAAGAATGTATACTTTGAAATTTCTTTTAACATTAGATTTATCTGTTATAAAATGTTACTTCACACTGAAAAAGTCCAGGCCTGAATCTGCAAATGCAATCTTTGCAACAAATGTAAAATAGAGCCATAGTACCATGAAAAGGCAACAGGAGGACAAATGGAGATAAGTCAATAGCATAAATAGAAAGGTTGACAAGAATGTAGTTTAACATCCATCTCAAAGCAGTTAACGGTGATTTCAGAAACGCTCAAGTCATGTTCAAACAACTAAGACACAAAGATATGGTACAGTTAGATGCACACAAATACGTAAAATGTACGTTATAATTACATAAAGGATGTAATGCTATCTGCAGAAGTTAAAAGCTTTCATAAGAAAAGAATCACATAATTTGGTTCTGTATTAAAGTGACTTCTATGGGACACTGAAACTGATTAAATAAAAATGATCATACGCCTCTCGTTCGAGATCTGCATTCAGTGATGTGAGTTGTTTCAAATAATTTTGTTCCTTTTCAACTGAACAAGTCAGCTGTACTGTCAGATCATGCAATTCTTTCTGTAGAAGAAAAACAGTATTTTGAATGTACATAGGTAAACCACAGTGCAAGGAAGCTGTCAGAATTGAGCTGACAACACAAAGCTTTAGGATGAAACAAAGCCATAAACAACACAGGCTTTATCTTTACATCGATCTGATGTAATGTGGAAGTATTGTGGGACATGAAACTCTGACATAAATGAAAACGTGTCCTCTATTTTATAGCCTAAGTAGTCTGCAAAAGTGCTGACAAAATTACCTTTCCATGGGCATTTAAATAAAGTCAGTATTTTCTCTGACATCGTAGGCTTTTGAATTCTCCATATATTAAAAAATTTTTACCATTACATTTTGGATGCATTCTGGACTACAAAGTAAAACCCTTCCCTCAGAAATGTGATGTTATTACAGGAGGAGGCAATTATAACTTAGATACAAAGTATATAATTTTATAGTACATAAATGTTTTGAACACTAATTCTTCTGAATAACTAGTGATACAGTGAAACCATAGGTACTGGTATGCAGTTAATTTAAGCAAAGAGAGAGAAAGAATGTATGTCAGTGTGTATTTAGTTAAGCATAGCATATAATGAACTTCTGGAATTTCTTAGCACAGCAGGCTGTAGACACTAATAGCAGGAGCACAGAGACAAACCAGATGAGACAAGTGAACATGTGTAAGTCTATAAATTGATAGCAAAGGGAACTGACAGGGATGTGTCCTCAAATATCCTTTGAATACAGTTACTGTAGGAATGTATGGAGGATGAACCATAGCTGATAACCAGGCTCCTCTGCTACCTATAGCTTTGGCTGTCACTGTCAGAAGCAGAATGCTACAGACCACTGGCCTAACTCTACCTGACATTTATTATGTTACATATACACGTATAAAACAATGTTGTATTTACTATCACCCTTTAATCAGACCTCTCTGACTTGAAGAATATTTTTCATCTCTTTTCCTCTCTCTTGCAAATTTTCAACAGTAGCCTCAAGATCTTTCTTCTTTGCTAGAACTTCTTCAGCTTTTCCCTGTTTAAGAACATTGATGAAACTCAGTTTAGAAAATCCAATGCATAGCAGTGCCTAAGGAACACGTGGTAAATCACATTTGGTCACATGCAAACCTAGTTTCCCATTTTCTTGCTTTAACTGAGATAGTTTCCTCTGAGACTAGTAAATACAGCTTGTAACTAACATAAACCTGTCTTAAAAGTATGCTTCATATAACTTTTCATAACAGAACATGAACCTCAGGAAACTTCCCTATAAGGAGAAGAGAACACCATGGGAATACATGGTGTTATAGCCATGAGACCTTCCAGCAGGCTCAGACTCCTGTATGTTTTCTCTGGAAAGGAACAGCTATCAACATAATAAGCAGTGCTTCCTAGATAAAGAACACTGAAGCATGAAGGAAACATCTTCATACTTAATGCCTCTCAGACAGTAGAATAATTGCAATAGACGTGTGAAGAAAGAAACCCATACAATCTATGAAATTGCTTATTGAATCCATCATTTTGTTACACAAAAGCTTTTCACAAATTCTTATTGCCTTTCCTGGGTGGTGTCAGAAGCTTGGTTATCCTTTCAATGCTAAAGTAAGGTCAGCCTTTACAAGGCTTAATTTCTAAAGGATTACTATGAAGAAAGCCAGCCACTCAAGGAATTATATTTACTGTTGAAAACTAGTTCATCCTTCAGGCTTAAATATTATATGTTTGGTGTTCACAATGAATGAGCTAATGCTCATCACACACACACACAAAGTATTTTTCAGAAAGGTTGGTGGTGAGGAAGTAGTGAGTACTAAAGATAGGGAATCTTCATGTCTGTGGAGAACAGTACTTGAATAGGCATGAATGAAGGAAGAAATTGCCAGAAATCTTGACTAGAAGAAATAAACCACATAAAATAGTAGAAAGAAAACGGCATAATAGTCTGAAAGACAGATAAGAAAGCAACCTTAAGGAACATTAGACAGTGCTTATATGTCATATAAGGTACTCATGAGACAAGAGAGACTGCACATCAAAGATAAATGCTATGAGACTAATAAAATGAACAACAGTTACCAGTGCTTCAGACAGCTCTTCAAGTTGCATTTCTTTCTCGTGTTTTAGTTTAGTCATCTCTTCTGCAGCACGTGCAATGCAAAGTTATTGAACAGATAGTTAGAATTACAGAATTTTGGTATACAGCAGACAATAGAAATAATTAATCCTACTGCAGTACTCAGTTATCAAAACTTCTCGAATTAAGTTCAGAAATCTAAAAGCTTAATAACCTAAACTATCACTTAATCTGAATGTAGAGTTACATATATATGTTCAGAAAGTTATTAGTGAGTGTACTTCTGAACAAAAGCTACATATTGATTTGAAGTAAAATTCAGAGCTTATTATGCTCTCTGTAGCCATGGTTTCAAATATTATAGTGTGGACTGTAATTATATATACAAAGGAATAGTCTTGGTGTATTGATGTATTTGTAATTTTCTAGAAAAAAATCTGGATATGCTGAAAAAAGAATCCTCTTATTAGTAACTGAAATGTGTTTTCCGCATGCACATTCACTTATCTATTTGTAAGTACTGTGCATCAAGCTAATTTTTTGCTCTGTTACAATCACAGGTCACATCTCACCTTGTTCTAGACAGGCCTTTGTCAGCAATTTTTGAACAAATGTATATTCCCTCAAAACATGTACTAAGCCATGTTTCTTGTCTGTCGTTAGATACATGCTGCACACTGGGCAAACTGTACCAGTCTTGGTTTGGGGGCTAAGGAGTGCCTGTCTAGAAATTAGGTTCAGTGGAAATGCAAAGTCGTGGCCTGAAGCAGTGATTGAGTGTTTGTGGGAAGGCAGGGCCGAGCCAGGGGAGCTCGGCTGCATGCAGCACACCTGAGTGGCTGGAGGGGGTGGAGCCAGAATCATTCCTTCCCACACCTCATTTAAGGTTAGCAGAGCAGGTGAGTGTATCTTGCTTGAGATCCCTGCCTGTGGCCTTCTGAAGGTAAGCAGCTTCTTTATTTTTGTGCCCATGGGTGTTGCAGGTGAGCAAACTCTCACTTGCTGCAGACCAGGGCCTTGCTGCTCTGCTGTCATTGCTGTGCTTTCCATCACATTACAACAGGGTATCAAAGTAATATTTGAAGTTAACCACTGTAGGTGTGGGGTAAGCAGTCTGCAGGAAAGCCTAAGGCAGGTGCTTTGTCTCTGCTATGCACTACAGAAGTTATTCTTGGAATCTATTGTTCAGCAGCCCATCACTACCTCTCTGAAACTGGTTTGGAGCACAACTTGTCTTAACTGGAGTAATGTGAGAAACCGAGATGACTTCCAGGAGTGACTATGCATTAAAAAAAATGTTATTACTACTTACATTCTTTCTTTCTACAAATCTTACCAAGCTCAGCAGACTTATTTGTGAGCTCCAACGTAAGGAGTTTTGACTCATCTTTGTATTTCTTCAATCTAAAAATTACAAACATTTTCTGTTCAGTATACAGCACTGCTTTGAAGCTTAGAGACAATAAGACTGTCATACTACAAATGTTTTAAATAGATGCCTTTTTGACAGGCAGATACATCTGTACCTCTTTATGAAAATCAGGAGGACAAGGATTTATTTTCTCAATATTAGTCAGTGTAATTTTAAAAATCATATTACATTCTCTGCTCTTAGGGTGATGTGTCAGAATATGAATTTCACCTTTATCTCCCTTTATTCTTTAGGTCTGTCATAGCCTGCAACTACTTAGGAGATTCCTTAATGCCAGGTACACAAACTCACTGTTCATTGAAAAACTCAGTTGCGATAACATTAAAATACACATCTACTGTTCTATTCCTATTTTTAGAAAAGTTCATTTTAGTTGCTAAGGGTTTTTTTTTTTGTTGTTGTTTTTTGTTTTTTGTTTTTTTTTTAAACATAGGCATAACTTTCAAAACTACTGTTTCATTATTAAAGAACTTCTACGTTACAAGTGAGATGGCTGCTGTGTTAGTCAAGAACTGCATCCATACAAAACCAAGCAGCGCAGGGAGATCTAGTGGAGGGTTGAAGGCCGTTGGAACTAGATCATTTTTAAAGTCTCTTCCAACCCAAACTATTTTATAACCATCTTTAAGGGCTAATAATGCAAATGATTAGGCAAAAGGTGTATACATTTAAAACACACACACACACACACACAAAGAAAAAAAAAAAAAAGCACCAGACCATCACTTAGGTTTTATTCCCAGCAGCTCAGTGACCTGCTATTTTAACTATAAGAACAATCTTTGGTTGTAGACAACTTAAATTACCTATTCTGCTCTTCTTGCAGCAAACTTTTCAAATTGTAAGTAGAAGCCTCAAACTCCTCTAACATGGATGCATGCAGAGCCTTTGCTTCTTTACATTCTTCCATCTGTGTTTCTTTCTCCTGAGTGACCTGAATTAATGCTTTCACTGTACTTTGCAGTTCAGTTTCTAAGCTCTCTTGAGTAGCCTACAAAACAATTTGATTATTTACAAACATATAATGTAACAACCAGCTACAATTGCTCTGTGTGTAGAGTATCAGTAACTATTTTTGTGGTATAAGTAATATTACATATAAAATATGTAAATATAATTACAAACAAGCTATACCTCTGTTTTTCGCAATGAATTTTTAGCTTCTTCCAGTTCTGCCTTTAAATATTCTTGATTGAGCTGAGATTCCTTTAACATTTCCCCTTCATGCCCTGTGCAGAAAATACACAAATTACATTTAGGAGAATAATGTTTTCTTCAAAATGCTTTGATTTGTGTTCTGCAGATAAATGCATTCCCACAACTTCATCAAATTGCATGATGTATTCATATCACTTTTAAGGAAAAAATTATGAGATGGTTATTCAAATTAATTAGAGATCGTATCCAAAATGTAAAATTGGTAACATTTATAAAACTTAAGAAAATACAGTCACTCGTATCTGGAATAAAAATGACAGTAAACTTGCCTTTCCACTACCCAGGGAAGGGGATACCAAAAACTGTCTCAGTTCTAAAGAACAAAGGTGCTTGTATCATATAGTATAAACATTTTGTCATAGCTGTAGAAATACTGAAGAGAACGTTCTAAGGCTTAAGTTTTCCCAGTCACACCTGATTCTAAGCATGCACAACTGGAGTATTTTCCCCTTGCAGTCTACAAAAGCTTTCATTGCTTGAATCATTCTTGAGACAAAAGAACCTTTAAAAATTATTCATACTTCTGATCTCAGGCCTTTGCCTATTTGCAGATGTGATCCCATTTAAAAGCTGTAACACCTGGGGGAGTTATTTGTCCAAGATGTGAAAATGTATCTTGTTGAATAGAGAACACTAACGGACTTCTGACCAAATATTAGATGATTGAATTTAAATAGATTAATGTGGTAAGCAGGAAAGCACTATTATTTCCACATGTTTACTATTCAAACCAATGGAAACAGAACAATCCCAAGAGCACAGGCAGGCCAGTATCATGCCCTGGTGTATCTGTCCATACTTCTGTTCTGGAAAAGGAGAGACAGAATATATGGCACCTTTATAGCAGCATAACCATGTGCATGCAAGGGCATATGGAAAAGCAGGAGAAGAAAAGTCCTGCACAATGAAGTTCTCTTGTCAATACAAGAAGAGGGTGTTTTCTAAGACTGAGGAGAAGAACTTTGTTATGAAATAAGGGCCTGTATTTTATATAAAAGGAGAATATGCTACAAGTCCAGTTCACGCATCAGCAGGATCTTAATTGTTTCTAAATGAAAAGAAGATCTGCAAGATCCCAGATTCTCCTGCTAACTTCCCCAGGATGAAATCATCATCATCATCATTTCTGTTTTCCATACTTTTATAACCAAATGTATTTTAATACAGCAGAAATAATTCTTACTTTTTGCTTCTTCTAAGTCCGCAATCTTATTTTTTGATTCCTGCAGGTGAGTCTTGATGTCTCTTATTACATCGTCTTTTTCATTACACCTTGCAGTAAGATCTGAAATCTAACAAAATTAAAATAATAACACAGGTCTAAAAAAAGAAGATAGATTTTCATCTTTTCATTCACATATGAGTAGTAAACACACTGCTGTAATTTAAGTTAAATAAACTGGTCGGGTCTTAAAGCTCTTCAGTTCAACATCAGAACATGAATTCCAACAGACTGAAGATACCAGGATGTCTCTAAAGGTAGCAGAATGTGAAGGACGTACAGCTCCAACTGTTATTTTTCCATTTTTATTCATTCAGTAATGAGTGCCCCAAAACACTCTGGGCATCTTTGCTGTGTCACATCTATCCTCAGAAAAAAAAAAACAGCAGTGCTTGACCTTCCTGTACGCCCTGCTTTTCAGTTTCTTGCTTACAAATTAAAACTGTATCACAATTCAATTTTCAATTCCATCTTCCATTACAGATGTCTCATCACTACAAATGCCTACTCCAGTCTCAGGCTCCTAACTTCTCCTACTAATGCATGGCCTGCTATGGGCTGTAGTCATTCTTCTCACCTTTCTTGCCAGCAATGAACAATACCTGCTTTCTGCTCAATTTTATACTTCTGCATAAGCTGCTTCTTTTACAGGCAATCTTCTTCGGTGCTTTGCTGTTACTGCTAAATCCCGTTGCAGAAATGTCCCTCATTACAATGCAGCAGCCAAATTCAAATTTTATTCCAAATAACTAAAGGAACACGCTATCAGAATGTAATTTGCAGTATTATTTCCACCCTTCCAAAACTACAAATATTTTGCAAACAACAAGCGTTTTTAGAATAACAGTAGTATCAGTGACTCATGAGAGCAGATAGACATCAAATATTAATGAAACTGCAAGATTTGTGGCAAAAATAAACCTGTACATATTAGATTTTAAAACTGAGCAAACCTGCTTTTCCTTCATACTGACTTCTAGCTTGCTTTCTCTTTCAAAGTTGTCCATTTTTTCTTCTGCTTCTTTTACTATTGATCAAAAATATCAAAATATCAATATTTAATATACTAGCTAAAACATACTCCAAGAGAAATACAATTTCTATTTAAGATTGCTTTACAATTGTACAACTGCACAATTTGTTTCCTAAAGAGGAATTGTTGAGGACATTTTAGAAATACCTTTCTAATCAGACAAGATACCTTTTGTGTCAGCTTTACACAAAATTACTCCATTACTACATGTATTTGTTAATAGATTGTTATAGGAAAAATGGCAGAAATATGCTTGTAAAAATGAGGCAGGCCCTTAGTGGTAGATAAAGCAAATACTTGATTAAAATTCCTGTACCTGCATACTAATGCATTAACATTTAAATAAACCAACCATGTAAAATACGTAGTGATTTCCAACTGTACTGCATAGACAAAACTAAAACTTTCAGTGACTATTACAAAAATAAGGTTTCAAATCTGACCTAGTAGAAAAAAACAGTGAAAGGCCTAAACACAGCAGGCAGCATCAGTAAGACAGGGCCCAGACTTTCAGTAAATTAGTAATTGTATTGATGGAACAATTCATCAGATGCAAAATTTATACAAGAAGTATAAAAGAGTCTAAAAGGAAACCTGCAGTGAATTTACCTTTCCTAGGAAATTTGAAAGGCTTATCCCAAACTAAGAGAAGCTGAGGTGGTAATGAAGTCTGACAAGAGAAAGCAGTAGGCTGTACCATGAGGAAGACTGTAACTCACTTTACAGGAATAAGACTCAGGTAAGAAATAAGAGACAAGAGGTTCCCTTGTCAAAGTGACTGAATTTAGCTGGTTATTTTCAACGTCTTTTCCTTTGAAGTAAATAGTGATAGAAGGCATTTATCACTCTACCAGCGTGCAGTGTGGGTTAGGACATGGTTTCAAAACAGTATTAATGTTCACAGTTCACCATTCTAGCATCCAGCCTGAAGCTGCACGCAGTAAGATCTGTGAAGCTGCAGCAGAAACACAGTAAGCACAACTCTCACATTTGAAACACATTTCCAGTCTGGTGTTCTCTGCTTGCACACGAAGCTCTTCAAATGCCACTATCATTCTCTAAAAGTAAAATTTGATACATACATTTGTGTAAAACTAGGTACTTTCAGTAATAAGGAGCAATGTTTGTAGCTTGTTTAAAACAAACAAAAAAAGCACCACTATTACACACTTATTCATGTACATATAGAAAAAAATCTGAAGTCTGAGCATAAACATACTTTGAATTAACAGATGCTATTTTTTATGAAATTGGATGTTTAAGAGGTTTTATGTAAATAATTTCAAGGATGAGATATCTTTCTTGGTCCATGTTTTTAGATTCCTAAAATAACGAAGAAGGTGTTGTGCCTTTCTTAGTAGCTACAATGACTGATAATTAATAACTGTTATTCCATGTGCCCACTGACTCTGTTTAACATATGAAATGTATCATTGACAATGATGTCTCATGTTGTAAGTGACATATACACGCAATCCAGATTTTCAGTGCATGCATTTAACTTAGATTACATTTGAGCTTTTTAACACACCATGTCACTTACTTCAATGTTGTTATTAAGTTCCTCATATAGTTGTCTTGTTTCTTCTCTTTCATGTTCATCTATCAAAATAAGAATGTATGATAAAGTTTTTCTTTTGGAAAAGAATGCCAGCTGTTCAAGCCATTATGCTTAAGCAGCATAGTGAATTAAAGGAAAGGAATTTTAAAAGGCTCTTTTCCTATTTAAAAAATAAAACAACACAAGCACATAATAAAATAGTGTGCCAAAAGTTATAGCTTTGTACAAGATGAAGTTTTGCACTTTCCATCAGCAGATATCCATGAGCACAGAACTGCCATTACAGAATGTCACAATACTTCACCTTACAACGACTTCAGTTTTTGAATTGGTATTATTTTCCCTTAGGAAAACACATAGAAGACAACAGTGAGAATCACAGCTATCGTAGGAGCACAGCAAATGCATACCCAGCTATTTGTATTTGTCAGACTAAGAGTTATACACTTTTTAAGGATCCAGGACAAGACAACCAAATTTTGAAGATTATCACCACGATTTTGAATTTCATATAAATTAAGATCACAAGTTAACCACATTTTTAAAAACCTTGAGAATTTAATTAAGTTATGCAGCTTACTTGGATTGCCCAATTTAGTGTGAGGAATATCTAACTGCTCCAAACAGAAGCATACCAACTCCCAAAGTTTTTTAAGATGGCAATGATAAATGAAATCAATTCATGTCTCTTTTTAAGCAGTAGAAGTGCCACCTAATATATGTTAATATATTCAAGGTATATGGAAGGGACTGCCAAACATGACAAGGCTTCAGGAAACCAGCACTCCTTTCCACTGGCTACCAGCAGTTAATCAGTATTGCTTGCAGTGCCTAAACTTGTATCAGGATTTAGGTAACTAAATAACTCCCAGGCACGTAATATTTTGGCAAACATTCATACTGACTTCAGAACACCCCTGAATTCAGCATTACAAAACAGACGTGTATTTGAATTCTTGCCTTATTTCTGAACTTTACCCTGATCCACTGAACTTCATATAGTTTTATTCACAACTTAACAAGAGCTTTTTCATTTGTGAGTTTAGAGAAATTTAGAAGCAAATTTACTTTTATAAATCAAGATTTAAACAGCATTTACATTTGGTGGACTTCTCTGTGAAGTGACTACAGGTTTCTTTGAGCAGGTTACACAGGTGTCTTGAGGCACTGTTTCTAAAAGAAGACAAATAATGCTATAACATGCAGTCACAGGAATGTATGGTACTTTGTACACTTGTGTGTAACAATGTGAATGCTTTAATTACTTTATAATTTAAGATGAATTTAACTTTCCATACTAAAGCAGTTTTCAGTAAGAAAATCCATTCTTTGCAAAAATATATTTGGCCATTACTTACTCTTTTAAAAGATCTTTATTTTCACATATCTCATCTTCCAGCTTCAAACTTAGCTTTTCATTTTCAAACTAATTTCACAGGAGACAAATATGAAATAGATTGTTACTGGAAAACATACTTGAAATATACTCTCAGTTCTCAAACCTGATATGAAAAAATTATTTATCTGCACCCAAAGACAGAAATCTGCTTTATCTGACATTACGTACCAAGACATCTTTTCTTACATCTTTTATATAATTTAAGCAATAATTCCCCAGGAACTGAAGCACTTAAAAGCATCCTATCCAGCCATACATTTGCACACTGTGTGCATGCCTTCTCAGCAGAACCATCTTCTCAAGGCAAAAGTTAAATGATCAATGATGACTTAGCTTAGCAAATCTAATGCAAACAACAAGAAGAAATAAAAGGGCTGATAAACTGTTCAAAATATGTATTTTGGTCACAGAGCCCTGCACTGCTACCAACTAGATAAAAAAAACTGCTTCCTGTGTGTGCTGAGCATAGAAATATGCCTTGGCATAGTTGACACAGACCAGAAGCATGAAAGCTTATTCAGCCTTGAATGGGCTTCTGCAGCCCCACAGCATGTTGCATGTTTGAATAATCCAATAATAGAATGTGCATTGTTAAAGAAAAGGAAATATTTTGAGAAACAAAAAACGAACTTTTTCCTTTCAAAACAGTAGAACCATAAGTTATTGATTCCAAACCAAGTGGCTTCTTTAAATCATCACGAACTGTTAAAAATTATTTCTTCAACCTCTATAGCAATCTTTAACCATATGAACAATATTTTCACACTAAGTCAGGAAGAGCTTTCTCTTTCATTTACATATTGAACACATGTTGTACAATACTGGCCTGCAATTCTTGAATGGCTTTACGCTGTGCTTCAATAATCTTTCTATTTTCTTGAAATTTTCTTTCCTTCTGCTTTAGTTCTGATTCTACAGCCAGTTTCCATCGCTTGATCTTCTCAGCCTCTTTGTAGAGTTTTGAATACAATTCATTCATTGTTTCCAGATTCTATTAAACAAGTTCCACTATTTAAATCTCAAATGTTATTTAAATAATAATGTTTTACATGCACATTTATCTCTTAGAAATATCATAACAAGAGGTTTTTTGTTGTTGTCTTTTTCTTTCCACAGTTGGTGACACAAAATCGTAAGTGCAGGAAATGATATTCATGTATCCTCTGTGTCAGTATCAACAGACATCACAGAACATGTAAGGGACACAAGCACAAGTGAAAAATATCTTTCTGCCTTCAGGTAGAGTGATATTGCTGAACTGATAGCTCTAAAGATACCATAAACTGCACATCACCAAAAGTGCATAAAATTTTGCTAGAATTATCAGTAGAGCCAGGATTCCTTCTGTTAGGCTCTTCTTAGCACATTCCTGCTCTTGTAAGATCAGATCCTGCTAGCTTAAGAATCACAGATCTTGACACACAATGTACTCCTGCAGCTATCTCATATACAAAGTAACCAAAAGCACAATGGCCCTTGTGCTCTTAGAACATCTTCAAAGCACTGTACAGGCCATGCTTGATCAGAAGCTTAGGCAGGTAAAGAGTAGTTACAAATTCTGTAGGTGGATATACTGTCATCTAATGCTGTTCTGCTCTTGGCAGCATTGCAGTATTTTCACAATTCTGAACATCTAGTTCTAATATCTGCTAGGGCTAAAGGAAGTTCAGCCCTCAGGGATATGAAAACTACTAAAAGGACTGCAAGAAATAAGTTCTATTTTATTGCTGCCACCAGCATTTCCTTCCTAGGCAGCACAGAAAGCTACCACAAAAAAAATTAGCTTTACTGTTATACTAAAGCAGAACATTAGTAAAAAGAACATAGAATCAAATGCTTGAGGCAACCACTCCACTAAAGACGTTGCTTTACAGATAAAGCCAGACAAGGTAATTGGAATAATCTACTTGATTCTCCAAAGGATAATCTTCACTTCAACCCTTGTGCCTTCCATTCAGAACCAAATTCACGAAAATATTTGACTCCTTCAGTCTTACTATAATTGAAACTCTAAGACTTCCCAGGCACTATTGCTTTTGACTTGGAAATCCTCTTAATATCCGAAGATTTATCTGAAGGTATGTTCATTGAATTTGAAAAACTTTTCTAAGCGACATAGCTTTAAACAGGAGTCACGGAAAATAATGATTCCCCTCTCACTACATCCTCTATCACCAGAGTATGTACTTAATAACGCTTTAAATTAGGAGGCCCTAAGAAATTAAATATGTAAGGTTTATACTTAAAAGCAAAGTTTACACTTGGCTGACCTCTTCATCCACCTCAGGGCAAAGTTTTGTTTGCTGTGAAATTGAATCTGAAATGGGAAAAGATTTTGATCAATGTATTTTCAGAAAAACAAACTACAGCAAAAAGAGCAGTGAGGGTCTAACAGTATTACAACGATGACATTATAAAACTAAGCAAAAATATGCAGTATGTATATATATATATATATATATATTTTTTTTTTTAATTAAAATAAGTGCTTACATTAGCCTTACCTGCATCAGTGATTTCACCATGGCTTGCCGCAGTTGTCATTACAAAAGGTAAATTAAAATCATCACCTGGACATTTGTTAAAACCCTGTAAAATTTAAATATTACTTTCTTACAGGTAGCTTTGCAAAGAAGGATTATAAAACTCTCAAAAATACAGCTAACATTAAAAAAAAAAAAAAGGCATTTCCCATTAATAGAGCAGCTGTCGACTATTCTGAAAGCCCAAAGGATGAGTGCTGGCTTTGGAGCTCTCCTACTTGCTTTACTTCACAGCAGCTTTTACAACAGCTGGTCTTCTGGGTGCTTTACAGACTGTGGCTAGACAAGTGGATGTTTCTAATAGCTATTGTTCATAATTGTAAAGGATAAAATGCACCATATATTTTTTTTAATATATATTTTTGCTTTATTCCCAGCAGTACTTCCAAAACAGATCAGATTAAGGTTGTTTGCAGCATGAAAAACTGACTTTACAAGGCGGTTTGAAAGTCACAGCAATTCATCTTTTAAATAGTACAGCTCATCTCCTGTCAGGACACCATACATGAATCTAGATATTGTTTACTAGGAAGTGTCAGCACAGAATTCACATAACTGCATTGCAGCATCACTTTCACTGCACAGCTGATTGTGGGGCCGTTAAATCAGAGGGTAACGCTGTCTATCTGTGTGTACCTCTCACAGCAATAAATGAGTGGCACCAAACACATACATTAATTTGTCATCAGTGCTGTACAGTTAAAATACACAGCTGATGGCCGAGATGCTTCCTTCTGGTTTTGCTGGGGGAAAATAGAATATTAAAAAAAAAAAATAAAAAAAAATTAAAGCCTTTGAAATTAAACTCGAAATTGTTCACAGGCATCCCTCCAGCTTTCGTCAATTTCAGCGCATTCAGCATGCTTGTGTTCTCCCGGCTTTGCGTGGGTATGGCTCCTGCCGGGCAGCTCGGCGGCTCCGCCTCGGTTACCTGGCACGGCTCTGCGGCCCGAGCGCTGGTCTGGGGTTTGACTGCAGACACCTGACCGCCGCTCAAACGTGGCGGCACGAAGAGTTTAAACGGTTTTCCTTTTTCCATGGCTTCGAAGGAGCGAGTAATGGTTCAGAACCGGCGCCTCATCGCGGCCGCGCCGTCCGCCCCGCCCTCCCCCTCTCGCTCGGCCGCTGAGGAGAACAAAAAGGCGGGAAGCGGCGGCGCGCGCTGAGGGCGGAACGGAGGGCGGATCGCACCGCTGAGAGGAGCGCGGCGGCGGGCGCCGTCTAGTGCAGCTCCCAGACCTCGCAGAGCAGCGCGGTCAGCCTCGGGTCCTTCGTCCGCCACGTCACCAGCACCTCGGCGTGGGTATGGTTAAGGGTGCGCAGCTGCGTCAGCCTCCCGATGAGGCGGGCGAAATGTTGCGGGTCCTCGGGATGATGGATCTTCGAGTACTTGTAGAGGATGCCCAGGAACGGCTCCTGCAGCTCTTCTACGTGCCGCTTGTTCCTCAGCAGCGGGCGGTCTGCGGGGGCGCGAGGCACAGCGCGGTCACTGCGCGCCCGCCGCCGCCTGAGGGGTGCGGGGCAGCGCGGGAAGCGCCTACCTGAGAACAGCACCGTGGTCGCTACGAGCAGAGCGTATTCGGTCTCGGTGACTTTCAGTTCCCCCATGCTTCTGTAGAAGTAAAACAGCGCGGTGATGAACTCCTCGGTTATCCCTTGAAAATGGAAGAGGATCATCAGAGTGTTATTGTGTTAGAGGCAGGTGCTGCCGTCGGTTTGCCCTCTTGTTTTAAAGTGCTGGGCTTTAAGAGCACAGGAGCTCACAAACGTAACAAAAACAATTTTCATTACTAAAGTAGTAATGAAAAAGGGCTGTATTGCATGAGTTGCTTCTGCCACGTGAGGATGTGACACACTGACACGTGTGATAGAGAATAGAGTCAACCGTGCAAAACACCTCCGAGGATTGCAATCTGAGGCCATTTTACCTGTGGTGGTGGTCGAAGTCGGACTCTCTTCACTGTGAGACATTTGAATTGAATACATGTTTTTATCAAGGTTTGGAACGTGGCAGCATGTTGTGTGGTCAGAGCGTCTGATGTGACCTGGAACAAGAGAGGTGGCAGCTCACAGCTGAGCTTAAAACAGCTGTGCACACACATTGGGTGTGATCTGCTTTGGGACACATCTCTAAAGTGTGCAGATTTTTGTCAGGTAGGGAAAAGAGTTGCTGTTCTTTTTGTTTTTCTGCATCCTACACTGGGATCATTGGTTACATTCCAGTTGGTAAAAATATATTGTGTCAAACTTGAAACAGCATAACAGCAATGTAGCTAGTATTAACATCCACCTGATAATTTGTGCAAGCTCACAGAAGCGTTGCTTTTTGTTTGGAAAGGAGTAAAGCAAAACAACATTTTTAATTTTTTTTTTTTAAATACTGTATGGAAAAATGCCTTTAGAATGACAGAATTGTTCAAGTTGGAAAAGATGGTAAAGATCATCAAGTCCAACCACAACCTGACCATAGTAGCCTAACTCTAACAACCTTCCATGAGCTTTCTCTAACAGACACTGCTAGGCCATTGTGAAATAAAACACAGAATCATAGAATCACTGAATTGCTCAGGTTGGAAAAAATCACATCCCTGAGCACCACATCCAGGCGGCTTTTAAACACATCCAGGGATGGTGACTCCACCACCTCCCTTTGCAGCCCATTCCAGTGCTTAACAACCCTTTCTGTAAAAGATTTTTTCCTGATATCCAGCCTAAACCTCCCCTGGCACAGCCTGAGGCCATTTCCCTCATCCTGTCAGCTGCTGCTGCAATCAGCTTTCAGGTATTTGAAGAAAGCAATAAAGTCTCCTCTCACCCTCCTCTTCCCCAGATTGAACAGCCCAGTTCCTTCATTCTCTCCTCATAGGCCATATTCTCCAACCCCTTCCCCAGCCTTGTTGCCCTTCTTTGGAGGCTTATACATATTGCTGGTGCTATTGTAAGCAGTGCTGTGCTTGAATAGTGAATTACTTCAGATTCATTAAATTGGAGATTGTATTAAAATGGCTGAACTACTAGTGTTTACAGAAAGCCTGTTAGTCCAACTTACTTTCACTTGATGACTGGCATTCATTAATTCTTTGGTTGTATATCTGAGCGGAACACAAAAACATGGCCTCAACTGTTGACCCTTTTAGCAGTGCAATTTGATCTTCACTAGCTAAACTTTCAAATCCTGCAAAGAGAGAGACTTGTTAAGAATCAAGGCTGTGGCTGCCTTTAAGCACCTAAAGTGGACTGATTTCTATCTCTGATCTTTTAATAAATACCTTTACTGAAAAGGAGGATCCACTGTTAAAAGACATTTGTACACAACACTATCTAACGCTCTTGCTTTTCTTCTTGCTAGTTTGCGAGCTAGAAACAAATTGCTGTTGTCAGTGTCCAGTGTATATCTTTGTTGCCTACAATGAGTTGCAAGCTGAACTGGATTTCAGACAATGTGTTAAAATGGGAATTCACTCACCACTCAAGTGGTGTTTTGAAGTCAAAGTACTGTCAGAAAAACATCTCTATTCCATGTCAGAAATTGGAGAAAAAAAAAATCACAATAAGTTTTTGAAGAAAATGCTCTAATCTGTTGAATAAATGGTAATCCCAATTGCTAGTGTTAGATCAAGTAGTCAGTTGAATACGTTTTCTTAAAGCCTGTGTTTTTCTCACACTGACGGCATGAATACAGCTTCTGCTTCTTAAAAACAAAAAGTCAGACTACTCCATAACACTTCCCAAAGGAAGGAGTTTACCTGGGAGTCTTTTTGTGAAGTCCACTAACACTTGTACGTGGACAACTGCTGTCTCAGAGAGATGGAGAAAGCTTTCCTCAGGACTTGTGGTTTCTTGTAGCTGCATGAAAGAGCATTTAGACATCTGATACAGCCAAGATACATTGCGTGGAATAATAACAACTCAGAAACAGAGGCTGATTGCTCTGCATACGTACAAACTTCCTTGCTTCCTCAAGGGGAATTGTGTATTTTTGGTGTGCTGCTACAATGTGGTCAAGAAGTTGATGTTCCCCTGGAGTGAGTTCCACCTTCTCCACAGTCTAATAAAATAAATAAATAAACCAATCAAACTGTAATGAGTTAAGGCAAACTAAATGATAAAAAAGTTATTTGAAATAGAAAAAAGTCTCACTTTTCCAGATCTTGTTGTAGATGATACATGCTTACTATTCAGTCCCTCATCTTCCAGTTTTATGTTGCAAAGTAAACTGCTCTTTTGTTTGAAATTCTTTCTGAGTCGCTTTGACTTGCACTGTACTTCAGTCAGCAAACCTGTGAGGCATGGAATTATGGATTAATGCATAATTTTTTCCAACAGATAACAATTTGAAATCATTACTGTCTATGCATCTCAGGAGCTATAAGGAACTATGCTTCCTAGAGAACATGGAACTGTGCTGTTGATTAAGCGAGTTGGTGATCTGTATCCACAAAAGGCCTGAGTGTTTGCAGCCTTCTCATGTTATCTGGTTTGTGATTGGGACATACGAGTATGAGAATTTTTCATAAAGGTTTTGTGCAATTTCTTTAATGCTTTATTTTTCTTTCCAAACATGAGCGCACATCTGACAAGCTTGGATAGCTGACAGCTGTCCTATCAGTTTAGGGTATTTAGCTGCCTCGTTAGTACTCTCTGCTTTATTTTGTAATGTCTTTGAACAACAGTCCTCTTCAGGAGCTACTTCCCAAGCATTGGTAGTTTCTGCACATGAAGATGCTGCAGGTGCTACAGACTTAAACTTTCCTAGAGTGAAATTAAGTTCAGATGAATACCATTTGGAATCACAGAATCATCTAGGTTGGAAAAGACCTTTAAGTTCATCAAGTCCACCCATCCACCTAACATTACAAGTCCTGCTGAGCTGTGTCCCCGAGTGCCACATTCACACATCTCTGCCTTCAGGGACGGTGACCCCACCACCTCCCTGGGCAGCCTGCACAATGCCAAACCACCCTTTCAGTGAATAAATTCTTCCCATCTTCCAATCTGAATCTTCCCTGATGCAATCTGAGGCCATTGTCTTGTGTTCTTTCACTTAGCTATAATGAGATAAGGGATTGGACATAGAAAAGGACTTATCAGGAGGGCGCACTCACATTCTGCTAGCATTCCCACAGCTCTGCACTTCTTCAGGCGACATTCCTGGCACTTCCTCCTCATGTACATGTCCATTTCACAGTGACCACCGTTCTTGCATCGATACACTGCGTTTTTGGTTATGCTGCGTCTGAAGAAGCCTACAGAAAAACATCAGGTTGTGAGTAAAAGAATTTAAGGAGATTTACCTCATAATTTAAGGTTTTGTTATTTTCTTGACAATGAAAGTATTACCTTGGTTTCAAATTTTCTGTGATGACTTAATTATGATGTGTTCTTTCTGACTAGTATTAATTACTGTTTACTTTAACTGATCAAGATAGCTCCCATAATAATAACTGAATTAATAGCATACTAAGCTATTAAGAACAATAATTAATGATTTATAAATAAAGAACTCTAATAAATGACCATAAGACAATAAACAAGCACTATTCCAGTGAATACTCAATAGGAAATTCAGCTTTAATAAATGCTCCTCTTGGATATATACAGAGAAGACAGTTCTTCAAAAATGTTTTAAAAACGTGCATCTGAAGGTATTGTGTGAGCCAAAGGCTTCCTAGGTTAATTACAGTCCCCAGAGAAAAATCAGGTTAATGAAGTGTGTTTGTTTACATGCAGTACTGCTCTGAGCACTGTGCAGAAAGGTACAGATGAGTCTGTGCCTCTTACCTTTACAACCCTCACAAGTAAGTGCATTGTAGTGGTAACCAGATGCTTTATCACCACAGACAACGCACAGCTCTTCCTGTCCCTTCAATCTCAAAGAAGAGTGATTTAACCTGGGCCTTTTTAGTGCTTGAAATCCACTGTCATCAGGGTGGGAAGCCATGAAAGGAGGCTTGCTTAATTCGCAGTTACTGATGATGTATTGCCCATCAGTGTACTGAGAGTCCAGGCTGTATGGGCTGTACTGGGACTGCGAAGGTTGTGACTGTAGTACTGGAGAAGGAATTTGAACTGATGAGTATTGACAGTAAGGTGCAGTCTGAAAA